TCATTATTCATAGAACCTATCTACCTACATTCCATTCTCTGCCTAGTGGTGGTCTTCCTAAAACCGAATCTGTTCCTACATTCCCTTGGTGAAAATGTCCCATCCTTAAAGACTAAATCCAAAATAACTGTACAGTACACAAGGCTGTGGGGGAACAGGTACCGGCGTCCATGCGTTGTTCTCCTTCATACAGGCGCTCAGGTTCTGTCTGGATCCGGTCAGCATCCTCCCCACCTTCTCTGACCAGCCCCACAGGAAGAAGTCCTTAGGTGGGAGTTAGCCCTAAAAGAGATGCTAACTAACTCCCAACACTGCAGTGAGGTACCACTCCCCTCTCTCTGTGCTAATCCCTAAAGCCCTGGTCTCTCCCTGCTCCAGGGATTCCACAGTCCCATCACTCAGGTGACATGCTGTCCACATGTGAGTCTCCTTGTCTCCTACTTTGCTCCTTTTTACAACTTGCCAGAACTGTAGCTGAATTATTCATAGTCAAAAATCATAATGTCTTGTGTTCCTCTGAGCTCCAGAGTGGAGGAAGTAGTCATGTGCTTCCTCCCTGAATCTCTAGTGCCGGCCACCATGACTGCACCTGGTGAGAACTCACTAGTCACTGGCTGATTGTCTGGATGGTGAAAAGAAGGAAGGAAAATTACGTTTATGGAGGTTCAGAAGGGGAAGCGACTTGCTCCTGTCCATCCAGCCTCTGTCAAAGGCAGCCTCAGGATTGGAACTCAGAGCTGGTCTGAAAGGTTTCCCAACAGTCAGCTGTGTCCTCAGTCCCAACATCTGGGGAGAGCAGAGCCAGGCCACAGAGAGGGGCTGTTCCCTTTCTTGTAAGGCTGCTGACGAGGAAGCCACATGATGACACATAACACAGGCCCTAGGACTCGGCACACCCAGTGACGGTCCCTCCCAGGCTCTGTGGTCAGTGCATCACACCTGCAGCCCCAGGAGCCATGCCGGGCAGTGCCACAGCCCTGGTCCTCACTGCCCTTCTGAGTCTTGGTAAGATTTTGGGGATGGGGGGGGGATGAGATTCTTGTCCCCACATGCAGGGCCTGGTCACAGGGAGACCCCAGGGCCTCAGGATTCTCATGGGGAAGCTGAGGCTCAAAAGAGAGAAGTAATGTTCTCAGGCCCAGTTTGACCCCAACACTGAGGGGCCCAGACCCCCATGACTTCTGTGTGGGTGGAAGGACAAACTTCTCACGAGACCTCTCTCCCAGGGCTGTTCCAGAGGCAGCAGATCCTGGTCCAGCCAGGTGAGTCCTCCCCAGTCCTCCCAGCACTGATCTCTGGACAGCTCGGGGAGACCCAGGGCCTGGGCGGGTGGTAACCATGCTGGGAGGGGCTTAGGAGTGAGGGCTGAGGACACTGAGAGGAAGGGAACCCCTTGAGACACCAACTCTGATTTCTTTCCAGGAACCCTCCCCAAACCCTCCATCTGGGCTGACCCAGACACCATCGTCCCCAGGGGGAGTCCTGTGACCATCCGGTGTCAGGGGTCTTTGCAGGCTGATACATACCGTCTATCTAGAGATGGACAGTATTTCTGGGATATGACCCTACTGAACTCTAGGGAGAGAGGGGGCTCCTTCACCATCCAGTCCATGGACAGGAACCATGCAGGGCAGCAGTTCTGGTGTCGTTATCACAGCTCCACTGGCTGGTCCCCGCTCAGTGAGCCCCTGGTCCTCACCATGACAGGTAAGAGGAAGGGATCAGAGCAGCCCTCCCCCTCCACTCTGAGCTCCTCCTACAGGTAGAAGAGATGGAATGTGCCCTAAGGGGTGGGACTCATACCTCACAGACCGCCCCCTGGGTAATGTGGGGTGACTGTGTCCCCCTTTAACTCAGCTCCCTCCTCTCTCTCAGGAGACTACTCTCCACCTGGGCCCTCACTCTTAGCCCAGCCAGGCTCTGTGGTGGCTTCAGGAGGGAAGGTGACCCTCATCTGTAGCTCAGGCTACTCCTTCCAGACTTTCCATCTGCTGAAAAAGGGACGAGTCCCCATGGTCCAGCACATGGACTCTCAGTACCCCATGGGGAGGCACCTGGCCACTTTTCTTGTAGACCCCGTGATCCCCTCCCACGGGGGCACCTACACGTGCTATGGTTCTTCCAGCTCCAACCCCCATGTGTGGTCACAGGCCAGCAACCAGGTGCATCTCCTGGTCACAGGTGAGGGAGCCCCTGCCCGGCCCCATCACTTTCCCAGCATCAATGACTGACCTAAGCCATGTGCCCAGGGGAGCCCTGCGGGTGAGGGGGAGGTTGGTGATGGTGCCCTCCTGGGGAGGAATCACAGAGGGGAGTGGGACAGACCATGTGGCCTCACTGCAGCCCCCTCCCCCCATTTCACAGCCATGGTCACTGGTCAGTATGAGCCCCGTGCACAGTGGGGAGTGCAGTCCTTCAATGCCACCTTCTCCTCTCCAGGGGTGCACACGAAGCCCTCCCTCTCCGCACACCCGGGCTCCCCAGTGCTGTCTGGAGCCAGCCTGACCCTGCAGTGTGGCTCAGAGGCCAGATTTGACAGGTTTGCTCTGACCAAAGACGAGCAGCTCTCACATCCCAGGAACCTTGACGCTCAGCACAGTCCCAACTTCACCCTGAGCTCTGTGCAGGACACCGACGGGGGCCAGTATAGGTGTTACGGTGGATACAGTCTCTCCTATGAGTGGTCAGCCCCCAGTGACCCCCTGGACATCCTGGTGGCAGGTTGGAGCCCCTGCCCAGCTTTACATCTCCACATGGTCTCCTCTGTGTGGATCCAGGGTTTCCCCTGGTGGAGATGGGGTCAGGGACATAGGGTACCCCAGCAGAGCTGAGATGGTGGCTTTGGTCCAGGAAGAGGGAGTGAGAAATGGGAGAGTGGGTGACATGGGGTAAGAGAGGCCCCACAGAGAAACAGAGGTGTGAAACAGGGCTCCCAACAGACCACCCCTGAGGAGGAGACAGTGGTCAGCTCAAGGGAGGTGGGGCTGGCTGCTTCCCTGAACACCCTGGTCTCTTTCTCTCACAGGAGCCTATGGGAAACCCGTCCTCTCAGCCCATCCGGGGCCCTCGGTGACCTCGGGGCAGAACGTGACCCTGCAGTGTCTCTCAGCCCTCTGGTTTGACACATTCCTTCTGTTCAAGGAGGGCTTCGTTGTCCCTCTGCAGCACCTTCATAGGCAGGACAATCCTAGGCCCTTTCAGGCCACCTTCATCCTGGGACCTGTGACGTCAGCCCATGGAGGCACCTACAGGTGTTACACTTCACACAACACCTCCCCCTACCTGTTATCACAGGCTAGTGACCCCCTGGAGCTGGTGGTCTCAGGTAAGGAACCCCTGACCCTGTCCCCTCTGGATCCTAATAGTTCAGGACCCTGTCCCCAGGGAAATCCTGGCCTGAGGTATGAGGGAGGGGAGCTCTGAAGAGGGACTCAGCCCCCAAAGGGATGGAAAAAGACAGCATAACTCCCACCCCTGTTTCATCATCAAGTGTGCTGGGTGGTGGGGGGCTGGACAGGATCAAAGGTCACCAAGAAGAAAGGCCAGAGGTAGGACAATTGTCTTCCTCCCTAAATCCCCAATCCCTGCATCTTGTCATCCAGAGACCACAGTAAGAGGTGGTGAGTAACAAACACTGGGCCTGGCTGCCTGTGGACCTGCCCACTCAGCTGACTGAACCTTTCCTGCACATCTTGTATGGGGGGCAGGCGGGCAGAGGTGGGGGTGGTAACCCTAGGCTTCCAGGATTCTGGGCCAGGGCCAGATGAGGAGTGGGGTGGTCACCACAGAGGGTGCTGTGGGGTCCAGCCTAAAGGAGGAGCCCCTCACGCTGTCCCACTCCCCAGGAGGATCCAAGGATCAGCAGCGCACTACTGTGAAATCAGACCCACCGAGAAGTAAGTGAGGGTCTCTCTTTTCGGAGGAAGGGTGGGAGAGTGTGAGTTCTGTGCTGACATATCCACTTCTTGAAATGGTGACTCTACAAGAGGCCCTTCCTTTTTCTCCCTGAGATTCCTGTCACCACTTGGAGGGGAAGCAGCCCAGGGAACACCATGTAGGCAAAGGACAGGGTCAGGACACTGGCATCTGTGGTCTCCACAGACTGAGGGGCGCATCCACCACCACCACCACCAGGGAGCAGCTGTGGCATTAGAGAAACAGGGCTTAGAAGTCCCATTCCACAGTCCCTGAGTTCAAATCCCAGTCCTGCCACCTCCCAGCTGAGTCTCAGTGTCACTGTCTATAGGCCAGGCCCCACCATCTCCCTCGGGGCTGCTGTGAGATGCAGGGGCATCTCTACACTGAGAGCCCAGACCTCACCTGACACCAGCTCAGTAAGAAGAGGGCCCACCCTTCCCCGCCTCCACACACAGACCATGTCCAGAGAAGTCCCATGGTGATCCCCACCCACCCCTGCCCTGCCACTTCCCTGCTGAGTACCTGGGGTACATGCTTTACCTCTCTGACCCTGTTTCCTCATCTGTAAACCACCACATGGGTGAGGCCTCAATCCCACATGGCGGAGTTGTTGTGAGGGTCAGAGATGATGAATGCAAGGGCCCCAGTACCTGTGGTATACAGTACGTGCTCAATAAATGTGCCTCACTGACTGATTTATGACATATTTCTTGTCCCAGGTCTCCCAGCATCCCTGAAGATTCTGATTGGGGTCTCAGTGGGCTTTATCCTTCTCCTCCTCCTCTTCCTTATCGTCTTCTTCCTCATCCGACAGCAGCGCCAGAGACAGCGCAGTAAGTGACGAGAGGACAGACATGACTTGGTTGCATGAGGTGGTGGGTCCCTGTGGGCAGACCAGGGTTTCCCACAGGACAACAGCCAAGGAGTGTTTAAGAGATGAGAGAAGGTCAGCTCTGAAAGACTCCGCAGCGCTCCGCCATCTGAAAATCTACAATGATTAAAAGTCAGCATATAGGACCATGATGAAGGATTTCTGATAATAAAGTGAGAAAAATGCAGAACAGAGCCTCAAATTCTTGAAGACTCCAGACTTGTCTACTGGGGTTACAGGAATCTCCAAGACTGTGGCCCCGAGTTGTTCTCCAAGCCTTGAAGCTACGCACTGAAGTCATCTTTAAACAAGTACAATTTAGCTCAGAGTATAGGTTGCCATTGAAGACTTGTGGTTTGTGGTCTTTTCGTTGTGACTTGGGTCAAAATTTGCAGAGCAAATTGGTTTTCCATTCAACAACTCATATTCGTTCTGGTTTGTGACGCTGATTATAATCCCCACAGTGAAACAGCTGTCTTCGTCTTCCCACTTCCTCCCTGGGTTTACTGTGGAGTTGGTATAGGGGATAAAGTTTCCAAGAACAGCTGGCGAGTTTGAACTGCCGACTTGGTGGTTCAAACCAACCTTGTGGTCCTGTGCTTATCCTAGACCACCACACCTGGACTCTTTCTGAGCTTTATTCCTGGACAAATGCTACCCTTTTATCTCATTTGATTGACTGTTCTAAGGAATGTGTACCCTCTCTGGTGTTTTTGGTCACCTTAATGGTTTGTTGGAGTCCTGGCGTGGCGCTGTGGGTTAATGCACCAGACTGCAAAGCCATTTGAACTGCAAGGTTGGTGGTTCAAGCTCACCAGCTGCTCCTTGGAAACTCTATACAGGGTCGCTATGGGTCAGAGTCTACTCAATGGCACTTAACAACAATGACAACTTGTTTATTGTTTGGCTGGGAGTCCTGGTGTGATGTTGTGGGATAAAGCACTGGACAGGTCAGTTTGAACTACAAGGTTGGCGGTTCAAACTCCCTAGTCACTTCTTGGAAACCCTATACAGGGTTGCTATGAGTCGGAACCGACTCAGATGCACCTAACAACAATTGTTTGGCTGAATTGGGAGGAGCTTAGTTCCAGGCCTGAAGGGTCTTTCAGGGCCATATTGTTGAGAGTTCCACAGTCTCTGTAAGTTCAGTGAGCTGGTCTTTTTGAGTTTTGTTGCACACGTTTCTCCCACTCTACCCAGGATCCCATTGTGACCCCACTCAGAGCAGTGGGCAGTGGTAACGGGGCACCATCTGGTCCTTCTGGTCTCAAGGCTGTTGAGGCCGATTCGCAGGGACCACTAGTCCTTTGGACTGTTTCAGTGCATCTTTGGTTATCTTCACTCTACTTTGCCCAGATGGGGAGAGACCAATAGGTACACTTTGATGGTACACTTGATATGTGAGACACAAAAGCACACTTTGTCATTTAGTGCTTAGAACTGTTTTCTCTTGAATTCGGTATGAAGGGGAAGTGGGGTGGCCATCTTTCCAGTTCTTAGACCCTCTGTAGATTCTGAAAGCAATCTTAAGAGAGGGCTCTAGCATGGGTTGATGACCAGTATCCAATTTCCTGCAGGTGCCCAAGAGACCAAGACCAGAGACCAGCCCGAGAGGTAAGACCGCCCCTAAGTCCCTGGGCCTCCTAACCTTGTTCACGACTTCCTCTCCGCCACCCAACACTCCTCTCTTCTTCCCCAGCTCCAGCCCAGTCACCGAGGTCCCGGAGAACTTGTGTAAGTGGAAGAGGCCAACTTGGGGGAGGGAGTTGGGAGGCCTCCAGAAAATGTTGGAGGCCAATGGGGATAGGGAAGTTGATTGGAAATGGTGCAGTGCTGGAAGTCAGATACTATAAAGCTGATGCTGTGTAACCCCGGCCACATCACTGACCCTCTCTGGGCTTCAGCCTCCCCATCTTGGAGCAGAGACAGTATGAAATCTCAGGGAATCATGCTAGAACTTGTGCCAAGACCCCCTTGTTCTGTACCCACCAGATGCTGCCGTGAAAGACCCACAGCCTGAACAAGTAGAGCTGGACAGTCAGGTGAGTCCTCTCTGGTCATGACCACGCCCCCACAACCTTCCTGTCCATCAGCTCAACCCAGGGGACACTGGTCCACCCTCACAGCACCCAGCTCTCGGAGGCAGAGGTAGTTGGCTTCGCCTCTCTTCTCTGGGCTGCCTTGACATCCGCTCTCCTTTCCTGTCCTTCAAACGGCCAAGTGCTGAGTCCTACAGAACACAGGAGTGCGGCCCCACAGGGCTTCCAAGGCTGTGATCTTTCAGGGAGCCCATCACCAGAGCTTTCTCCCAGTTAGCTGCTGGTGGGAGTTTTCTGTTAACAGGCAAGTGCTTAACCAGTGTGCCTGCTGGGCGCCTTTTGTCTCCAGCTACGGCTTTACTGGTGTGGTGCTGTGGGACAACGCACTGAAGTAAAAGGTTGGTTTGAACTGTTAAGGTCAGCAGTTCAAATTCACCAGCTGCTCCTTGGAAATCCTGTACAGGGTCGCTGAGTCAGAACTGACTTGAAGGCATCATGGGGCTGGAAACCTAAGCCCTGAGTTTATGGAAAGGTCAGCTGGGGGGCCTTATATCAGCCCTACCAAGAGGCTTAGCCCCAACTTTCTGTGTATTCTTTTCCTTAAATGCATGACTGCGAGAAACCCAACAGTGTGTCACCAAGAACACAGTGGCGGTTGGCTGCCCCTCTCCTCTGAACCACTCCACACCCAACACCTACTTCCAGTCCTCACCTCCCCTGAGCAGAGACTCCCGTATTCAAGTTTCCACTTGCCAGCTGTGTGGTCCCATGACAAGCATGCCAACCTCCATACCTCTTGCCAACCCCCCAAAATACAGATTGCAGGGGTCAAGAGTGGGACCAAGGAGACCAGCCCCTGCCCCTCTCTCTCTCCAGCAGAATCCAGAAGAGCCCCAGGTAGTAACATATGCCCAGGTTAACCACAAGACCTAGGTGGGGAGTGACCACCTCTCCTCCCTCCCAGTTGGGAGCATTGCAGAGCACGAGGGGCAGAGAAGGCGAACAGGGCAGGCAAAAGGGCAGTCAGGTGGGTGCCCACCACGAGCCCTAGTGGTGTCACGGTTAAGTGAACAACAGGCCAGTTTGAGCCCACCCACCATCCGCAGATGTGGTATCCACTCCAGCAGACGACAGCCTTGGAAACAGAGCCAGGGATGTTGAATTAGTACCCACATCACCGCAGTGGGTTATGGGTAACCCCCCCACCCCGACTCAGTGCTGTTCTCTCTCCCCCCCACTCCAGGTGGCTGCACCTGAGGACGCCCAAGAAGTGACATATGCACAGCTTAGTAACTTCACCCTCAGACGGGGCACAAGTGCACCCCCTTCCTCAGAGGAGTCCAACGAGCCCAGTGTATATGCAGCTCTGGCTACTCACTAGCCCAGGACAATGGGCCTTGCAGGGATCCCAGAAAGCACTGGACTATCCCCAACACTTGTCCAAAGAACCTCAGCTGGCATGGAGACCCTGGGAGTGGTTTACTAAGTCCACCCAAGTTGCTCAGCTGACCTGACAGCCTCCAGCCATGAGCCTCTGGGAGGTCGGAGCATACAATCTACTCAAGCAGCTGAGCATGGATATGGAGAGGAAATCTTAGGTGGCTTGGTCTTTACAAGTCAAAGGACCCAGAAGACAATATTAACTGCTTACAAAGCTGAAATGACCAACCCCCAAATGGTTTCTGTGGTTTTAAAAGCTGAAAGAGTTGCTCAATTTTGAAAATATTTCCTCAGCAACTGTTCACTGTGGTTTCTCAACATGGCAAAGGGGAAGCTAAGCTGGCCATCTGATCTTCAGAAACCCCCAGAAGGGGAGGGTGGTACAGGGTTACTTAAATGTTACCACACTACTAGTCTTCCGTTAAATATGCAAACGAAGCAGAAACCCAGGATTTTTCCTGGTACCACTTACAGGCAACTAGCTTTCAAATCAATTAGCAGCTGGTTCTCAAATGCCACTGACCCTAACCACGTACAAGCCATCTTCACCAGCAATCTACCAGGGAAACCTCCTCCAGCCCATTACCCTGATGAATGGACAGGCCAGGCCAGGCCAGGCCAGGCCAGGCCAGGCCATTCCATCATCTTCAACTAGCAACTCTGCCAGGAAGCAGATGGCTGACTCAGGGAGCTCCTGAGAAGCTGGCCTCCCCATTTCTCCACAAAGTGTCTTATTCCTTCCATTACCCAACATTGCTCAGAAGTTGGAGAGAAGATGCAAACACAAGAGAGTGGTTGGCAGTAGCCGACAGAGAGCAAGGTCACACAGAAGGAACTATGTCAGTGCTGATTCGTTCAATGTAGATGGATCACCTGTTCTACAAACCTTAACTCACAGCAAGTATTTTTAAATAAATTAATACCAACTCCAAAGTGTTAATAGTTTTTATTATCTGCTTGGAAAATTAGTATCCCCTCCCCAGGAAGCAATGGGTGGGCTTAATCCTCCTCCTCATCATCACCAGCTCCAGCCCCACCCTGGCCCTTCTTGGCGTTCTTCCTCTTCACACGGCCTGGGCGGCCTCCGCCATATGGAGAGCGGAGGGAGAAGTCAATGTGCTTCTGGGAGTCCAGACGGACAATGAAGGACGGGATGTTCACCACCTGCTTCCGGACCCTGGAGGAGACGTGGGGATGGCAGGCAAAATGAGCTCCCTCCACCACAGGGTTAGAGGCCAGTCATTCTCCTCCAGTGGATGGGTGAGTGTCCCTTAGGTACTGAGAACCTAAGGGTTCCTCCATGCCCCATGGATGGACGCTCCTGCGCGCATCATCTCATCCACACATGTTCTGAGTTCTCATTCACTTCTGACCCAGGGATTCTGCACAAGGCCAGGAAGGTGGCGCTATGGACTATAGAGCCAGCCAGGTTTTCACACCCTCTGCTCTCCATGCTGGACAGGCCAGTGCAGTTTCACTCTACAGAGCCCTGAGGAGAGGACAGGCAGGTTCTCACACGTCTCAGGGAAACGGGAGGCAACTGCCCATGGGACAGCGCCTGAAATCCAACATGGACAGGCCACACTGTACAGTGAGCTCCCCAAGAGGGACAATTTTACTGAAGGAGCCAACAGAGTGCCCAGCTGCTCCTGGGGTTACTGGTGTGGGAGCTCTGACTTCCAGCAGTGACTTTACCAAGATAATGACAATCACCCTCAAGTGAGCCAATTTAGGCTCAGTGACCACCCTTCCCTCTTGACTGGGGACACCAAGCATGTTACCTGTCCAGCTGCCAGCACGTCTAGCAGAAGCCTTCGCAAGGTGTACGGCTTGAGCCGCAGTGACCCTTGCGCTGGACTATGGGGGTACAAAACTGCCCCCCCCATTCCAGGAGCTGTTTTTGCAGGGGCGAATCTGGGCCCTCAAGGTGAGCTCATACCTGCCACCTGCGAGAGCTGCACAGTAGATAGGGGCAGCAGGCTTAGTGAGGGCAGCCAGGGGAGGGCAGCGAGTGGAAGGGGGTGTCCTCTACAGATACCTGATGTGGCGCTGGCGGATCAGCACCCGGGCGTGGTGGATGGACTTGGCCAAGCCCAGTTTAAAGACCTGAGTCTGCAGACGTCTCTCCAAGAAATCCTCAATCTTCAAGCCCAGGATGTAATCGAGCTTCATCTTGCCCTCATCCAGCACCCCAATGCGGACCAGTCGTCGCAGCAGTGCGTTGCCTGTGACGGGAGAGGGGGCCTACCTCAGGCTTTAGGAACCTTAGTACTCTAGTCAGTTACACACTCAAGGTTGGTAGTTCCCACCTAGCAGTCCAGAGTCAGGGAAGCCCTGCTAGCTAAGCAGATGTGGAGTATGAGTCCTGATACGGTTCTGAACTGCTAGCTACATTTGTCGGCAGTTCAAACCCACCAGCCACTCCTCGGAAGCCCTACTCAGAGGAGGAATGGAATCAGTGGTACTCCCCCCTCCCTTGTAGGACTGAGACTAGAACGGTGGCCCAGGCCTGTTAGACCCGCGCCTGTCATTCACCGCCTCACTCCCACCTTAGGGTTCCAGAAAGTGCTATGCACAACCCAAAGTAGCCATCAGATGTCTGCTTCTGCTACGGAATTCCTTCCAACAAATGCCAGGCTCAGACATGTCCCCACCCACAAAGGGCACTCTACTCTACTAAAAACTCAGCCATAAAACGCTGGCCTACCAGCAGCACCTGGAATTCAATCTGCCCTCTGCTAGCTTTCCAGTACTTCCCCCAGGACTATCATCTAAGGAAGCTTCCTTGTGATTAATTCTATCTCCAAAGTCCCCCCTGAAGCAATTCAATTCCTCCTCAATGTCAGTTCACAGGAAAGGAGGGGAGGGGGGGCATGTTCCAGACAATCCTGGGATTATCCAAGTGCATGAATCAGGACAGTCATGCCCTGCATAACAAACTACACAAGTCCATAGTATCCTGGTTGCAATGTTGGTAAGTGCCATCAAGTCAGTTCTAAGCCGTAATGGTTCTGTATAGGGTATGTGAGGAGTGACTGGTGAGCCTGAACCACCAACACATTACCCATAGCGACACCCCAAGACTCCAATAGTTTAGAAATCCTGGAGAATAGCATGCCAGACTTGACAATCATGACAAACCTCAAAAATAGTCTCCAAGCTTTTCCAAAGAAAGCTACAAGGCTTAATCAAACACAGGCGACATAGATCACATATGGAGAAATTTGTTTATGATGTAGATTGTGGACCAAACACAAAAGCAAATCATTCTCAGCTTAAGGAAAAAGACCTGTTAACAAAAAGTTTAGTGCCAACCCTGAGACATTATAGGCATTTTTAGAGTATTTCTCTGCATAACGTGAAAATGAGTGTTGAGCCTTCAAGTGCTAATGTGAAGGCAGAATCTGTTGAAACCAATTAACTCCTAATTGTTGTTAAGTGTCGAGTTGGTTCTGGACCCATAGCGACCCTGTATAGGGTTTCTGAGGAGCAGCTGGTGAGCTTGAACTGCCGACCTTGCAGTTCAAATGGTTTTGCAGTCTGGCGTATTAACCCACAGCGCAGCGCCACACCAGGACTCCAAACTAATTACAGAAAGACATTATCTGCCCAAACAAATTTTTTAATATGGATAAATATTCCGGAAGCACAGACCTAAAGAGACCTCAATAATAGGGTATTTTGCACAATACCCAACTGATACAACACGATATTAACAGAACATACTGTGGTGTGGCACTGTGGGCTAATATGCTGGACTGCAAAGTCAGCAGTTGAAGCTCACCAGCCACCCCTCGAACAAACATTTAGGGTTGCTGTGGGTCAGAACTGGCTCGCCGGCAGGTAACAATTGTGAACTTTTAGCAACAGTAAACTGTAGCATAAATCTCTACCCCAGGATGGATTTAAACAAACTTGGCTGATTAAACCACCATTTGATTAGGCAGCAGCCCCTTAATCAAAGCTCATGAAAGCCATACTAGAAGCTTTATCAGAAAATTCTAAGAAAAGCCAGTTGCCCGCGGAAACCAGGCTTCCCTGTCCTTCCTGTTTCCACCACCCATCAATCAGACTACCCACACCTGCTTGGATTAGTGGTGGTGGTGATGTGCCTGCGGTGGAGTCGGTTCCGACTCATAACGACCCTGTACAGGATTTCCGAGGCTGTAAATCTTTACGGGAGCAGAAAGCCTCATCTTTCTCCCGCGGAGCAGCTGGTAGTTTCGAACTGCCGTCCTTGCTGTCCGCAGCCCGATTCGCCAGCACCAGGCTAGCAGCGCTCCTTGTTCGGAGCCCCGTGGCCGGCCCGCTCCACACCTGGTGAGCCACGGTCTGTCTGCACAGTCCCACCCCGGGTCTACGGAAAGCTCTGCCCGAGGTGTGCCGGCCTCGTCTCGTCTCATCAGGGGCCAGAACCCACCTTCGAACAGACGCCGCTGGTCCTTCTCGTCCAGGGTCAGCAGCTCGCGGGCAGCTTTCCGGATCTTGGCCAGAGTGAACTTGACCCTCCAGACCTCACGCTTGTTCCGGAGCCCATACTCGCCTACGGAGAGCGAGAGGGATTAGGGCGGGAGCAGGCGCGGTCCCCCGGACTAGCCCCCCCAAAACCGGAGCTCAACTGCTTCGGGATTCCGAAAATCCTCCTAAATCACAAATGGTAGCAAACTCGGGGGCGCGGATGATGAGATCACAGCGACCACGTGGACGGGGCACCCACGTGCCAGCCCGTCCCCAATTCCCGCAGCAGACATCGTTCCCCGGACACTCACCGATCAGCTTCAATTCTTGGTCGAGGCGAGACTTCTCAAAGGGTCTCCGTGGGGTCACGTAAGTTTTCCGACAAACCCAGCTCCGGGCCACAGGCATGCTGGCACTGCTTGTCCGTCTGCGCCTGCGCGGAAAACGGGGCTGCGTGAGGAACCGCGGCCGCCTCTGCGCAGCCTCGTGGCAACCACAGAAAACACCGCGAGAACCCTCAAACTTTTAGAATCGGTTTCGTCACACACAATCGTGCCGCAACGCTCTCTAGCCAATCTTTTTTTTTGGTCTCTTTCTTTAGCGTAGCGATTAAAGTTTGAAAACCCAAACAAGATCAAAATCCAAATCAACAAACAAACCTGAACGCAGCTCCCCGTGAAAGAAAAAGAGGAGCGCACGCGACCCAGGCTCGCTCTTATATGAACGCCGCCGGCGCGTGACGCCAGAACGAACGGCGTACGTCTACGCCAATCAGAACAGGCGTTGGCGGGCGGAAGTGCCATCGAGACACGAGCTGGACTAGAGCGGCTCTTCCTGATGGGAAAGTGTTAATGGATTCTCTAAACCCTTGTGAAAGGAGCTCTGGTAGCGTAGTGGTTACGAATCGGGCTGTGAACCTTACGGTCAGCGGTTCGAAACTACCAGCCGCTCCGCGGGAGACAGATGAGGCTTTCTACTCCCGTAAAGATTTACACCCTCGGAAACCCTGTACAGGGTCGCTATGGGTCGGAGCCGACTCGATGGCACACAACAACAACAACAAACCCTTGTGAGGCTTCTTAACAAGCCATCCATTTAAGCTAGGTGTTAAAAATGTGCACACTCAGGAAACCAGATGGCGAATATTTGCAGCACCATGGAAAATTCTTTCATACCCTTTCCAGTTAATACCTCCCCTGCCTAAAAAAACAAAAAACCCACTGCCCTCCTTTAGATTCTGATTAACAGCGACCGATGTATCGTCTCGGAGTCCCGGTGTGGCGCTGTGGGTTAATGCACCAGACTTCAAAGTCGTTTGAACTGCAAGGTCGGCGGTTCAAGCTCACCAGCTGCTCCTCGGAAACCCTCTACAGGGTCGCAACCGACTCTACGAGGGCACTTCACAACATGTATCATCTTAAGTGCCGTCGAGTCGGCTTCTACACAGCGACCTTGGGGTTAGCTGTACATTGCTTATCCTATAACGCCTTACCAGGACTACTGTACCAATGTGCTGGCTTGTATTATTTGTTCTACAGTGCATGATATAAGAATATTGAAAGTACTACGGACTGCTAAAAGAACAAACAAATGTTGAGTTAGAAGAAGTACAACCAGAGTGCTCCTTAGAAGCTGGGATGACCAGACTTGTCTCTCATACTTCAGACATAGAATCAGGAGGGACCAGTCCTGGAGGAGGACATCATGCATGATAAAGTGGTGGGTCAGCGAAGAGGAAGACCCCCAGCGAGATGGATTGGCACAGTGGCAGGAGCAATGGGCTCAGGCTTAAAAATGATTGTGAAGATACAGTAGGACTGGGCAGTGTTTCGTTCTGTTGTAATAAGATCACTATGAGTTGGAACCAACTCTCTTACACCTAACAACAATTATTATTCATGTTATAACAATAGAATCAGAGATAATACAATATAATAAGATAAGATCACTAATCAGGTAATTGTTGTTAAGTGCCATCAAGTCAGTACCGACTCATAGTGACCCCGTATAGGGTTTCCATCCTGGAGTGGCCAGTGAGCGTAACAGCTCACTGTTCGAGTTGGAGCAGCTGGTGGGTTTGAACCATCGACCTTCCAGTTAGCAATCTAGTACTGATCCTACAGCACTACACAAGATCACCATGTTGGCAATTGTTGTTGTTAAGTACCGTGGAGTCAATACTGACCCATAATGACCTTATGCACAGCAGAACGAAACACTGCCCAATCCTGGGCCAACCTCACTATTGTTGCCGTGCTTAAGTCCATTGATGCTGTCACTTGGCCAATCCATCTCATTGGGGGTCTTCCTCTTTTTCTCTGACCCTCCACCTTACCAAACATGATATCCTCCAGTGACTGGTCCCTCCTGACAACATGTTCGAAGTATGAGAGACGAAGTTTGGCCATCCTGGCCTCCAAGGAGCACTCTGGCTGCACTTCTTCCAACACAGATTTATTTGTTGGGTCTTTTGGCAGCCAATGGCACTTTTAATATTCTCCTCCAACACTGTAACTCAAAAGCATCGATTCTTCTACGATCTTCCTTATTCACCGTCCAGCTTCCGCATGTATATGAGTTACTGAAAATATATTATTATTAGGTGGGCTCAAAGTGCCATTTTGGTTAATAGTCAAATGCAAACTATTTGTACCACCCAAGGACCTTTCGAGGCGTTCTGCTGATATGATGGTTAAGCACTAGGCTGTTAACCAAAAGGCCAGTAGTTCAATCACTCCATCAGTTCTACGGGAGAGACATGTGACAGTAGGCTCGCTGACGGACAGCTTTGGAAACCCTAGAGAGCAGCTCGCCTTTGCCCTACAGGTTCACTATGAGCTGGGATCGACTCAACAGCAACTAGAAGAGGAAACTTTCAGGAAAGCCACTGAAATAGAGCAGACCTGCTTGATCGTGTTTCCAAGGCTGTAGATCTCTAAGGAAGCAAACAATTATATCTTCCTTCAACAAAATCGCCTAGTGGGTTAAAAGAAAGTGCAGACCTTTTGGTTAGCAGCTGAGCATGTATAGGCCATGTAGAAATATTTGTTATTTGGGGTAACCCAAGAGTTCTTCAACAGAGGAATGAAGAAACAACATGTGGGGCATTCGGAGACTTCTGGCAAGATGGTGGAGTAGACCTGCTGGCCAGACTCTACAACAAAGATACAGGTGAGCCAGTGACAGACACAGGTGATAACCATGGAGCCCTGAATCAGAGGAAAGGTTAGAGAAGCCGCCTGACTACTTATGAGGAGGAGAAGCTGAGCAGGCGCAGCAGGGGTACTGTTAGGCAGCCAGACACGGGGCGGCTATGTTGACCACAGCGAACACCAAGGCTGATAGGAACTCCGCCATCACATCCCTGCTGCACCCCCTTGTGTGTGAGCTCCTTGCCTAGCAGGTGCCCCCCGAGTTTTCTCTTCATCGGTTCCAACATCTGCAGCATTGGGTTTCTTGGTTGTGTTTTTTTTCCTTTTGTTGTTTGGTTGGTTTTGCTGGCTCCTTCTCTTTCCCTTTCCTTCAATCTTAGACTTTCTATCTCCGGTTTGGGTTTTTTCTTCTTGTTTCTCATTTCCCCCACGTCTCCTCCTTTTGATCTTTCTGTACTACTCTCTCTTCTTCTTTCCTCTCCCTGGTTTTTGACATTACAGCATTCACTCCCTTTCATTTATGCTCCGAGCTTCAAAAAGAGTTCATTGGTTCAGTCTGGTTTGACCCCTTTCTGAGAGTCTACATTGCCACCCCAGACAGACTGAATCAGGATCGAGATTTTCCTAAGATCCCCAGGTGATTCTTATGTATAAATTATGCATAACTTATGCTGTATTCTTACTTGCGTCTTTATACACGTCTGAAATGTTCTGTAAAAATCTTTGTGAATGGAGGTTTAGTATGGTGGGGGAAAACTCAGATTTGAGAGACAAAAAGACCAGGTATTAAATCCCAGCTCTGCTACTGCCCAGCTATATGAGCTTGGGCAAGTCTTTTCCCTCCCCTGTCAGCCATTTTCTTACCTGTATGTTGTTGTTTGGTGCACCCAATTTATAGCAATTCCAAGTACAAAGGGATCACAGTGTTGTAATCCATGCTGTTTTCACTGTCTGATCTTTTAGTCTGTCTGAATCTAGAAGCTGTCTTCTCCACAGCCAGATGGTAAGATGGTATATACCTCCCTGCTGTGTTCAGCATCTAACCTGTTCAGCATGCAAGCCACACAAGCCTCCATTGAGGTGCACTGACCGGGAATCGAACCTGGGTGACCCACTAAATCACTGTTTCCCTCTTCTCATTCGTGTAAGTAGATGAAAATGCCCATTCCTCCCTGGGTCGTCACAAGGATTCACATGGGACTTCACATTAATTCAACAAGTTTATTGAGACTTCCTGGGAGCTAGGCCCTATGGAAAGCAGAGACTAAGCAAACCCAGTCCTTGCCCACAAGAAGGTCATCGCTGACGAGATAAACAGTTGAAATATAAGTAACTACAAAAATAACACATTCAATAAGCACTCTTTTTAAACAGGAAGGAGTATAAGAAAGATGTAGTGTTTAAAAACCTGGGATCAAAGACTAACAGTAGAGCGAGGTAGGAAGGTGTTCTAGTCGGCCACAGAGACGAGCTTGGGAACTTCTAGAAAGGCTCTTGCCGACCCTGAGCCACGCCATCGTCTGCGGCCTCGGAGCTCACTGCAGGCCGGCCCACTGCAGGGAGGTGTACACCACCTTACCATCAGGCTGCGGAGAACAGAGCAGCAGTGTCTTTCTGACGCTGGTTCCGAGGCGGCCTGCAGAAACCAGGTCCTGGAGTGGGATTGGGTCCCCAGCAGCCCAGCACTGAGCGATGTAGTGGGCGTGGAAGCGTAGCGGGTCACCTGGGTGAGGGAGAGACAGGCTAATGACCACAGGGCCTAGGGAGGATTGTCCCGGCTGCCCTTCCAATGGCTAAGGACTAGAAGACTGTGACAGGGCCACCGACAGGAGCCTGGGAAATGTTTTGGCAATCATTATCAGATGGTTGTCCTATGGACATCAGGGCCCGACAGTGGGTGGTCCGGCCGTACCCTAGACAGGGTCACTGTGAGCTGGAACCGACTCAACAGCACCTAACAACAACATGAAACTTTTAAAGCAGAGTCCCTTGGACCCAGTAAGGACATTACAAGGCTTTTTTTTCCTGTCAATTATTTTTGGGGGGCGGGTGGGAGGACATAAGAGGACAGGGGCCTGCTCAGTCTTTCTTGGCAGCTGCCTTCCTCAGGGCGGCGCCCCCACCCTTTCCTCCATGACTTGTCCTTGGAGACCTTGAACGGTTCCATGGCCCGGTGCTCATAGGGCACAAAGCCACACACCTCCCGGACCATGTCCCGTGGTCCCGCAGAACTTGGTGTGCTTGGTGAGACGCCCACAGCGGTGACTGTGCCTCGGCTCACTCACACTCTTGGTTACCTAGTTAAGGCCAACGGCCACAGCATAGCACACAGCCATGGTTGTTCTCAGTGGCTCCTGGAGCCAAAGGCATCAGTAGCCAGTTTCTAAATCAGTGTGTTGTTTTTGTGATATTTGCGATCAAGTCTATTCCAGACTACAGCAAGAGTGCAAATACCGTGAAAGAGCAAGTCACACACATTTTGGGGTTTCCCAGCACATAGAAAAGTTACATTTATACTAGACTGTCATCTGTTCAGTGTGTGATAGCATGATACAAAAAGTAAGAAATACTGTGAAAAAAACCAAGATGTGACGCAGATACTCGAACAGTCGAGCTCACTGCAACACCAACGCCCGTTGTTAAGTGCCATCAAGTCAGCTCTGACGCCTAGTGACTCTGTATAGGGTTTCCGAGAGGTGGCTGGTGGTTTTAAACGGCAGACCTTATGGTCAGTAGTCCGGTACTGGTCCTACAGAGCCACTCGAGGACTCCATCAGTAGGCCTGTGCATGAGTGGACCCAGTCAGATCAACCCAGTGTGGTTCAAGGGTCAACTGTGTTAGTATTAATAGATGAATTCGTAACATAAACGTGGTAGGTGAATACTAATGTTGTTGTTGTTGTTAAGTACCAGTGAGTCGATTCCGACTCACAGTGACCCTGTATAGGGTTTCCAAGGAGTGACTGATGAACTTTAACTGCCGACCTTGTAATTCAAACCGACCTTGCAGTCCAGCGCATTAACCCACAGCGCCACACCTGGACATCAATGTTGTTAAGTGCCATCAAGTTGGCACTCATTGTGACCCTGCATAGGGTTTCCAAGGCTGTGAATCTTTGTTGGAGCAGACAGAGTAGCTCGTGGGTTCGAACTACCAAACTTATGGTTAGCAGTCAGTGCCTATCCTACAGAGCTACCATGCTTTCTTTGAATACTAATATTTTTCATACAAGGCATCTATGCACATTAGTATGCTAAGCATGTTATATTAGAAATAGTGGCCCCCTAGAACTAGCAAGGGAATACTGTGGCTCTGTAGGATAAGCACTGGACTGCTAAGCACAAGGCTAGCACTTGGAAGCTACCATACCAGTAATATGTACTACACACATTGTCATTGTATGTAAGTTGCTAATGATATCAGTGCTAGACAGCTCAGAAACCCAATACAGGGTCCCTGAGTCAGAACTGACCCGATAGCACTTAATAACAATAAAAAGCAAGGAAGCCTGGTGGTGCAACAGCTAAAGCGCTTGGCTGCTAACTGAACGGTTGGTACTTCGAACCCACCAGCTGTTCTGTAGGAGAAAAATGTGGCACTCTGCTTTCATAAAGACTTGGTATGTGCCGTGGAGTCGGTTCCGACTCATAGAAACCCTATACAGGGTTTCCAAGGCTATAAATCTTTATGGGAGCAGAAAGCCTCCTCTTCCTCCCGCAGAACAGCTGGTAGTTTTGAACTGCTGACCCTGAGGTTTGTAACCACTATGCTACCAGAGCTCCTTGGAAACGCTATGGGGCAGTTCTGATCTAGCCTATAGGGAATCGACCTCATGGCGGTGGATCTGTTCTTGGGGTTTGCCTGTGGAGAATGGAATGATGGGTCTTGGAGCAGGTACATGATTGTTACTCACATTGGTGAATCGTGACAAACTATGGAAAACATTGGGAAGAATGGGTTTTCCAAATCACTTAATTGCGTTCATGAGGCACCTGCACAGAGACCAAGAGGCCGTCATTGAAATAGAACAAGGGAATATTGAATGGTTTCAAATCAGGAAAGGTGTGCATCAGGGTTGTATTCTTTCACCATACTTATTCAATCTGCATGATGAGCTCATAATCCAAGAAGCTGGATTGTATGACGAACATGGCACCAGGACTGGAGGAATACTCGTTAACAATCTGTGATAGGCAAATAATACAACTTTACGTACTAAAAGCGAAGAGGACTTACTGACGAAGGTGAAAGACCATAGCACCTTACTGTAAAGAAAACAAAATCCTCACACATGGACCAAGAAATAACATCATGATAAATAGAGGAAAAGTTGAAGTTGTCACAGACAACTGAGTTGATTCTGCCTCGAGGCAACCCCATGGGTGTCAGAGTAGTACTATGCACCATGTAGTTTTCAAGGCTTTGACCTTTCAGAAGCAGATCTGAGGGACTTCTGGAACTGAACCCCCAATATTTCAGTTAGCAACCAAGTGCACTAACCATTAGCACCACCCAGTAACTCCAGGTATGTCTGATTGAAACGTTTAGCTCAATGGTGGTGATGGGTCATCAACTTGGTTCCGATTCACAGCGACCTAGAACATTGAACATAAGTGACTAAAACTCATGGCCATGGCCCTCAACCACCCTTCAGGTCTGGAAAGGAACTCACCCTCGAGGTTTACTTTGCAACTAAGCAGTCACTGTGAGTTGGAGCTGACTTGAAGGCTCTTAACAAAAGTAGCTAGGTAGACAGGGGGTACAGTAAAGGATGTGACTCGCCATAGAATGGTCAGGCATTCAAAGTCAAAAGGGCACCATTCTCCTAAGGACAAAGTTAAGGGATGGGAAGGTGGGTGGAATGAAAACAAGAATCATAGGGAGGAAGCGGGGTAACTTGTTGCACGGAGGGGATTGCAATCCTTAAGATGAAACACAGTGCATGATTTGTTAAATGTAAAACTGAAGATTCGGTTTGTCAACCTTCACTCGATTCACAATAAAAAGTTTTAAAAACCAAACAAAATATCAACCAATCGCTGTGGAGTTCATTCTGATTCGGAGCGGCCCTATAGGACAGAATAGAACAGCCCCACAGAGTTTCCAAGGCTGTAAACCTTTACAGAATCACACGGCCACATCATTCTCCTGCTGACGGACTCAAACTGCCAACCCGTAGGTTGGCAGCTGAGCACTTTAGCCACGAAGCCACCAGGGCTCCTTTCAAAATGATTAAACTGCCTTTCAAATGCTCCACTGCTATTCATAAGGTTTCTAGTGGCTAAACAATCGGAAATAGTCGCCTCTCCCACTTCCAGTCTTTTTTAGTCTGCAAGCTCAGCTGAAACCTGTCCACAATGAATGACTCTGCTGGGATTAAAGATTCATTTACAACCTATGATACACAGATAATACAACCTTACTGGTATTTAAAGACGCTTTAACAACTTGCAATATGCAGATGATACAACTTTGCTTGCTGAAAGTGAAAGCGACTTAAAATACTTAATGATGAAGATCAAAGCCTCAGCCTTCAGTATGGGTTGCACCTCAATGTAAAGAAAACAAAAATCCTCACCACTGGACCAATAAATAACATCATGATAAATGGGGAAAAGATTGAACTTGTCAAAGACTTCACTTTGCTTGGATCTACTATCAATACTCAAGGAAGCAGCAGTCAAGAAATCAAATGACATACTGCATTAGACAAATGTACTACATAAGACCTCTTTAAGTGTTCAAGAGCAAAGATGACAGTTTGAGGACTAAGATGTGCCTGACCCAAGCTATGGTATTTTTAATAGCCTCAAACGCATGGGAAAGTTGGCCAGTGAATAAGGAAGTCCGTAGCAGAATTGATGCATCTGCGTTATGGTGCTGGAGAAGAATCTTAGCAGTACCATGGGCTGCCAAAAGAATAAACAAATCTGTGTTGGAAGAAGTACAGTCAGAATGCTTCATAGATGGCCAGGATGGCCAGACTTTGTCTCTCATACTTCGGATATATTAGCAGGAGGGACCAGTCCCTCCTGATTTACCATGCTTGCTAAAATGGAGGGTCAAGGAAAAAGAGGAAGACCCCCAACGAGACAGGTTGGCACAGTGGCAGCAGCAATGGGCTCAAGCGTAACGATCCTGGGGATGGCGCAGGACAGGGCAGTGTCTCCTGTTGTGCATAAGGTCGTTACGAGTCAGACTGATTTGATGGTACTGAACAGTAACAGCCTTCTAGGTAATCTTGGGCTTTCAAGGGTTTCCTCTCCTTCTATGAGTATCAGAAGCTAAAAACATAAATCAAAAAGGAAAAGAAAGCAGAATACTTCTGAATGGTGGGATTGTGAGGAAAGCAGCATCAACTAGAGGACCTGGGCTGTAGTCCTGGCCCAAACTCACCAGGATAGACCAGGAAGTCGCCTCCAAACTTGCCCGCGGCGCTGAGGAAGAAGCCTCGCTCCCACAGGTCTCTGTACACGCCATAGCGCAGCTCATGGGCAGGACGGCCCGCGTGGGGCCAGTCTTTAGACTGAACTCTCCAGTCCAGGGGCCGAGCCTTGATGGGCCGAGGTCTGGCAGTGGCCAGCTGGACAAGTAGAGCAGACCTGGGTAAGGGGGTCAGCCCATCTGAAGATGAGGGACCTGTGAGAGATGCAAAGGACAGAGGGTCTGATGAATCCAAACTCTTCCCACACCAGGCTTCTGGATTCTCAACTATAATTCCCAAAAGATCTCTCTAGACCCTCCTGGTTCTGCTCCCTGGACTCCACCCACAGCCTCACCTGCATCCTCGTCCTCTTTGGAAGGCTGGCTGGCGCCGGCCTCGCTCTCTCCAACCGGGAGGCTGCCCTCGGCCCCTGCATCCTCTTCGAGCTTCTGCTTCTTTGCGGCCTGGCCCTCTGCGATCTTCTCCAGGAGCTCCTGACGCCGGGTCTCCCGGGCCTCCGCAGCCAGGGCGCTTTGCTCCTGGAAATCCTGCTCCTGCTGGCGCTTGAACGCCGCCAGAGCCTGCGGAGTGACCGTAGCTGGAAGCCCAGACTCCGCATTCCGTTCCCACAGGCCCTTAGGAGCTAGGAGTTCTGACTCCAGGACCCTCCCACTCAGCAATCTAGAACCCAGGACTCCTAGCCTCTGACACCAACAATCATCAACAATCTGGGGCTCACAGCCCCCTCTGACCTCTGAGACCCTGAGTCCGGGGCTTCCCGTCTCCTCCCACCTCAGGGACTCCGAGTCCGACTCGGGCGTTCGGTCTCCGGCGCCCTTACCAGGCCGTGGTTGCGGGGATCCGGGCGCGGGGCGCTGACCAGGGTCACAGCGCCGATCTCAGCCAGCAGCCGCGCCTCCTCCGGCATCAGCAGCAGCGGGAGGCCCAAACGCGAGTTCTGGCGGGGCCCGCGGGGCAGGGCGCCCACCGTACGGCCCCCCACGCCCAGGCGCTCCCGCAGCGCCTGTACGGCCTCGGCCCCCCACACCAGGGAGCGGCCATTTGCCACCTCCACCACCAGCATCCTCCTGCGGGGAGTGAGGGACCGGGTCACCAACCCAACTGCAGCCTCCCGCCGCCGGCTCACGCGCTGCCTCCTAGGTCTCGGCGGAGCTCCGCCCCTGGCCCTCAAGGGGCGGGGCCTCGCCGTGGGACCGCTCGCCACCTGCGGAGGACCCGAACGGCTTCGGGCGATTCCGCCAGGCTTCCGGCTGTTAAAGACCAAGGCCCGGTCCCCGACAGCCTTCGGACGAAACCCGTGATACTCAGGCAGCAGAGAAGGCAGCCGGATCCTTCCCCAAATCCGTCAGTCTCCAAGATTAGCACTCCCCGCCCTTTGCCTTCACTGATGCACCTGCAGTGACGCCTTCACTCTACGGAGGGAAATCTCCGCCAGCCAGGGCCACAGCCCCTTCAAAATGCCCAAATTGTCATCAGCTTATCCTAAAGCAGGTGACTCCCTCCAGGTGTTCCCGAGGTGCGTGCCTTCCATAGATCTACGTCAGTCTATTCTGAAAGCCAGTCCCTTTGGTGAAAGCCACAGATCTTCACTCTCCCATGAGGACAACCAGTTGTCATCAAGTGGACTTTAACTCAAGTCCACCCCAAGTTTATCTGAGAACTGTGCTCCTTGGGGGTAGACTGTCAGGCATTGTATTGCATTAGGCAAATCTGCTGCACAAGACCTCTTTAAAGTGCGCAAGAGCAAAGAGATCAGTTTGAGGACTAAGGTGGGTGCCCCGACCCAAGCCATGGCATTTTCAATAGCCCCATATGCATGGTAAGGAGCTCTGGTAGCGTAGTATTTACGAATCGGGCTGGGAACCGGAAGGTCAGCAGTTCGAAACTACCAGCCGCTCCGTGGGAGAAAGATGAGGCTTTCTGCTCCTGTAAAGATTTATGGCCTCGGAAACCCTGTACAGACTCGCTATAAGTCGGAACCGACTCCACGGCACACAACCATATGCATGGTGGAGTATGATGGGTATGGCACTGTAGGACTGCTAGCCCCAGGGTCGGGCGCTCAAACCCACCAGCTGCTCCTCAGACACCCTATACAGGGTTGCTATGAGTCAGAACCGACTCTATGACACTTAACAGTTACAAGAATATATGCATGTGAAAGCTGGACAATTCATAAGACTGTGCATTGATGTATTTGAGTTGTGGTGTTTGGTGAGACTTCCTCTCTCGTACTTTGGATATATTATCAGGAGACACCAGTCTCTCTCTGGAGGACATCATGTTTGGTAAAGTGGAGGGTCAACGAAAAGAGAAGACCCTCAACAAGATGGATTGACACAGTGGTAACAGCAATGAGTTCAAGGATAACAACTGTAAGGATGGCACAAGACGGGCAGGGTTTCCTTCTGTTGTGCATAGGGGCGCTATGAGTCAGAACCAACTCTACTACGGCACCTAGCTATAGATTGCCAGGTCTTTCTGCTGAGATGCTTCTGGTGGACTCGAACTTCCAACCTTTCAGTTAGTAGCCCAGTGCACTAAGGGGTTATACCACCCAGGAACCCTAGGTCACACCCTCTTAACGAAGCTCAGACCTCGGGTCCTTCCCTGGTCAAACTTTTGGCCTCTGGGTCTCTTCTCGCTGGAAATCTGGCTCTCACAGTATGAAGCCCCGCCCCCACCGGACTCGTTCGTTATGGGATTGGCCCAATCCAAAGCCCCGCCTCCTCTAAAACGTAAGGAGTACGGGCTTTCGTATTTCTCGGCTAAAACGAATCTACTACCCCGCCCCCTGCAAACACAGGAGTCTAACGTTCTGACTTCTTGGTTCGGCCGAATCCGAAGCCCCGCCCTTACGAGCGCTGGGCTTCAGCGTTCGGTCGTTTTCGGCTACGGTTTATTGCACACTCTGAAGCTCCGCCTCTTCCGATCGCAGAAGTTCCCCCGTACGGGAATTTCTGTGCTATAGCCAAATCCTACAGCCCAAGGTCCCGCCGTTTGTTCTCTGCTCGAACGGGTTCACCCTACCTATGAACGCTCAGTCTGAGTCCTTATTTCCCTTGAGAATGTCCCGGCTTGTCTCTTCCTAAGAACCTACTCGTGGGACAGGCGGAACCGCGCTTACCTAGCGCACCACCCTATGCTTTTTCCCCACCCTGTAGACTCCCCTGCGTAAATCCTGTCTCCCAGCCAACTCGGCTCCCTTAGGCCATGATCCCCACCCACCCTTTCCAAAGTGGAACACCTTGGCCCAGCCCCTCACAGGCCCGCTGCAGCTGCTATGGGAAACGTTAATTACACTGGCCTCGTCCCCGCCCAGGGCCCTGCCTACTTTGGGTGGTGACGTAACTGGCTCCACCTTACGGGAATACGTCCATCACGCCTAAGTCTGTGACCCATCGGAGAGCTTTGCTGTCAGAGTTAAGCACTCAACTGCCGAGATGTCAGAGGTGTTCTCTATCCTGTAATGTCTTTATGAATCGGATTTGACTCAGACAATGGGGTTTTTTTTTTGGTGAAGTGGTCACACTTTACGCGTAAAACGAGGCTGACGTTAGCGTGTCCGCCTAGCTTTAAACCAGGGTCACGTGGGCCCGATTACTTCCGAAGTAAGCCGAAATTTGTGATCCCGCCTATATGGAACCGAGGACTTAAATTCCGATTATTCCCGAAGCAAACCGAAACTTGGGGCCCGCCTACAACCGAATAGAATTTACGTTTCCGATTGTTTCCGAAGTAAACCGAAGCCTGTGGTCTTCCCCTCCAAATTGTGAGCTCCAGCTCCAGACTCTTCCCAACGGAATTGGAAGCTCTAAACCCCGCCTCTTTCCGAACGCTCACCTCCAGACCTCGCCTCTTTCCCAGGTTCAATCCCGCTTCCCTTCTAACTAAGCCTGTGGCCCCGCCTCTTCCCTCCTGAAGCCCCGCCCCTACGTGCCTGCTGTCGGCTGCGCCCCCGCTCGGTAGATCCGGGACCCGGGGTCCAGCTGCGAACTTGTGCTCCCGGGTGGGCTCCTTCCCTGCCCAGCACAGAGCTCTGACGCTGTTGCTTTCCGCGCACCCGGACCCCCGAAAGCGAAGGCGGGGGCGTGCTGGGCAGGGGAGGCGTGGCCGGACTTGAGGGCCCCACGGACTGGGACTGCTCGGCCGCCTCCTGTCCCGGCGGCGCGGAGCCGCGGGCCCGGGTGGGTCGGGCACTCCGGGCATGCGTGGGGTCCAGCGAGTGAGGACGGGTCGTAGCGGGATGACGGGGTGCGGAGGCGACGGCCCCTGGAGCGCGGCGGAGCTTAGGGATGTCGTAACTGCCTGTGGGTTTGCGTGGGGTGGGATCGGAGCAGAGCCGGGGTGCATGGGACCTGTAGGGGCTGGTGAAGGAGGTCGATCTCGCGGATTGAGGTGGGAGAGGGACCCCGGAGCGCCCAGAGAAGGGTATACAGGAGGCTAGGACACCTCCAGGTCCAGGGCTGGGGTTCTGAATACCTGGGTTCTAAAAGAAAGGAAGACTCAAAAGTGGGGGTGTGGGGGTCCAGATTCCTGGATCTTAAAAGCAGGGGGCCGCTGGGAGATCTGGGCTCTCTAAGGAGGAGAGGGAGTCTGGAAACCTAGGTCTTCAATGAGGGAGAGGCTAAGAACCACCCCCACTAGAAGGTGGTTTCCTAGGAGGTCGAGGTAGGAGAGGGGCCTGCAGCTCCGAAAGAGGGCTAACAGGTGGCTTAATTTCCTCTGGGTCCAGAGCTAAGGGTCTGATACTGGAGTTCTCAAAGAGGTTGGTGCTGGGAGTTAAAAACAGGGGTAGTCTGGAGTCTTAGATCCTGGGCTTCAAACGGTGAGGGCCTTGTTTGGAGCTCAAAGGAGGGGGTCTTTAGAAACCTGGGTCCTCAATGGAGGAAGGCTGTCCTCACTGATAAGATAGGTGGAGGGGCATTCTTAAATTCCAGGTAGGAAAGGGAACTGAGAGCACCAAAAGAGAGGTAGGTGGGAGGTTCACATTGCTCTAAGGGTCCCATTATCTGGGTTCCCAAAGAAGAATGGGCTGGGGATTTAAGGGGGCCGGGGAGATTAAAATTCTTGGATCCTGGAACTAAGAGGGCCTGGAAGGACTGGATTCCTGGACTTTGGGAGGGGGAGGGGAGAGTGTTTGTTTCTGGATTCTCAAAGGAGGGGGGTCTAGAAACCTGGGTCTTCAATGAGGGTGTGTGGGAAGCTATGGTTTCCGGATTCTGGAATATTGCTGGGGACTGGATTACTGATCCTCAAGGAAGAGAGGGATGGAGGTCCTGAGTTCTCCAAAGAAAGGAGCTGAGGACCGGATTCTAGAATCCATGAAAATTTCAGACCAGTAGTGAGGTTCCTGCCTTCTTGGGTCCTGGGCGAGGGAGAGGGCTGGGGCGGGGCTCCTAGAGTCTCACCCTGAACTCCTGCCCCTCCCCCAGGCCATGTCCCCAGAAGAGTGGACTTACCTAGTGGTTCTCCTTATCTCCATCCCCATCGGCTTCCTCTTTAAGAAAGCTGGTGAGTCAAGTTCCCTCCCCAGCCGAAAGTAAGGGAGGGGAGCCTGGGCAGGGGAGGGAGGGAGGGGTCACCTGAAAGATTCTAGGCTTATGCTGTCTCTCTCCCCTGCAGGCCCCGGGCTGAAGCGATGGGGGGCGGCAGCTGTGGGCCTGGGGCTCACCCTCTTCACCTGTGGCCCCCACACCCTGCATTCTGTGGTCACCATCCTGGGGACCTGGGCCCTGATTCAGGCCCAACCCTGGTGAGAGTCTGATGTGGGGAGAGAACTAGGTTGTCTCCTCTGCTTTTCTTCTCCTGCCTTTTTATGTGTCCTGAGCCCTGTTGATGCAGTGTATTAAGCATTGGACTGCTAACCGCTTGGTCAGTGGTTCAAATGCACCAGTGGCTCCAAGGAAGAAGATGAGGCTGGCTGCTCCTATAAAGATCCACAGCCTTGGAAACCCCACAGAGCAGTTCTACTCTGTCCTGGGGGGGTTGCAATGAATTGACATGGACTCTGTTGGCATTGGGTTTGGCTTTGCAGTATGTGCCCCAGATTCCATTGTCTTTTAATTCATGTTTGCACGAACTTTTTGAAGCACCCTTGTGACAGGACACACCACTCTTATCTGTCCTTCTGTGTTTCTCTCTGGCTCTTTTCTGTCTTTCTGTTTCCCTGTGTTTCTCTTTGTCTCGTATCTTGGGCTCTGAATCATGGAGGTAAAGAACTGAAAGCCTTTGTCTGAACTCTTTAACCCCTTTCCCTTCTCTTTGCTCTGCGAGGGGCTGCACCTCTTCCTCTTCCCAACCTTCATCACACTCATCCTGTCCTCGCCTCCCTCCCTCCCTCCCATGCTCCCTGCCCCATCTCCCCTCTTCTCCCCCATTCTCTATCTCTGCTGGCGGTGGGGGAAGGAGGGGTTGGAGGTAGCCTGCAGTCTGAAGCTGGTGGGGCTGGGGAGGCAGAGGCTGAGGCCCCTCCTGTCTCTGTCCCAGCTCCTGCCACGCCCTTGCCCTCGCCTGGACCTTCTCCTATCTCCTGTTCTTCCGAGCGCTCAGCCTCCTGGGCCTGCCCACACCCACACCCTTCACCAATGCTGTGCAGCTCCTGCTCTCGCTGAAGGTCAGACGTGGGGCCCGCTCCTCCCTGTGGACTCCATAACGTCCCTCCTCCAACTGGGCTGGGGTTCATTTCCACTGCCAGGGGAGAGGCAGGCCTTTATCTCCTAGACACCCTTGGGTGGGTCAGGAATTCCCCTCTCAGACACCCCTGGGAATAGGGTTCCCCTTTCAGGTAGCTTTGTAGGAGGCAGTCTTCACCTGCCCGCTGTTGTGGGGTGAAGAAACAGCACAAGTCTCATACATGACAGGTGCCATGTGGTGTTTGCAATGCTAGCCGCTGTGCTGGGTGATCTGCCGGTGGTTCTCCTTGCACCCTTGTTGCCACTGGTAGTTGCCGATGGCCGGTTCTACTCTGACACACATGGAGTTGCCAGCAGTCAGAACCAACTCGGTTCAGTGTCCACTGAGTTGGGTGGTAAATACAGGAAGAAGGGAACAAACTTGAGAGATGCAAGGCTGTGCATTTGGAGAACAGTGTAGCTTTCTGGTCTCGGCCAATTGTTTAGCTTATTTCGTAAAGACTGTTGGCTTTGAGTATTAAACTCTTGTAGGACCTAGCTATGGAGTCCTGGTATGGCACTGTGGGTTAATGTGTCAGACTGCAAAGTCATTTGAACTACAAAATTAGTGGTTCAAGGTCACCAGCTGCTCCTTGGAAACACTATATAGGGTCGCTATGGGTTGGAGTCCACTTGACGGCACTTAACAATAACAACATAGGAATCAAGGAGCCCTGGTAGTGTAATGGGTTACACATTGGGCTGCTAAACACGAGGTCAGCTGTTCGAATCCAACAGCCACTCCACTGGAGAAAGATGAGGCTTTCTGCTCCTGCAAAAACGGATGGCCTCGGAAACCCTATGTACTGACTCAGCCCACACTGCGCACAGCAGCATCCGCATAGGGATCAAATTGACAACAGTAACTTGAAAGGTTTGATAAGAACCTCAAGGGCCAGTGGTTGGTCTTCCCCGGGGAGGAACAACTTAAGAGAAGAAGGCTGAGAATGGTGGCACCCAAGAACATCATCAGTGTCACAGATTGTCCGCGTCGAAACTTGAATTGATGCATGTTCTGTGTGAGAGAGCTTCTGAAATGTTGTAGGAAAATCCCCATGATCTTTTCATTCCATTTTCTCAAACTTCTTGAAACCCCTTGTATATTCTGGACAATGCAATGAATTATGAGGAAAAAAAGAGAAAACCTATGGAGTAGAGTTCAGAATCGACTTGATGACTACCATAGGATAAGCATTGGACTGAACCACAAGGTCGGCAGTTCAAACCCATCAGCTGCTCTTTGGAAACCCTACACAGGGTCTCTATGAGTAGAAACCAACTTGACGGCACTTAACAACAACAACCAGACAAACATTTGACTGACTGACGTGAGATAGAAACCGTACATAGCTGTTCTGACTTACGTATGAATTCGCCTTAAAGACAGCCAGGGACAGAACTCAGTTGTAGTCTGGGACTGCCAGTACAGATAAACTCCTCAGCAGCCTTTGCCTGCCTGTCTGTCAGCCCCAGAGGCTGCTGGGAGTGGTAGTTGAAGGGAGGCAGGCATCACCCAGGGTCTGGCCTGACCCTCTGCCACGCCCCTTCCTCCCAGCTGGTGAGTTTGGCCAGTGAAGTGCAGGACCTCCACCTGGCTCAGAGGAAGGAGATGGCTGTGGGCTTCAGCAAGGGCCCCACCTTAGGGCTCCTCCCCGATGTGCCTTCCTTGATGGAGACGCTCAGCTACAGCTACTGCTACGTGGGAATCTTGACAGGTAAGCAAGCCTGGCCCTTCAGGGCTGCCCCTCGTCTATCTTCCTCTGTGTCCATCCTGTGTCTGAATTTGGTGCCTCTTTTGTGTTCTCACCCTGCCCTGCGTTACCTCCGTCCTAGAATCTACTCTGCGTGCGTCTCACGACCAGGCTGTGTCTGACTCTCACACTGACCCCAGAGCTCCACTGGAGAAGTGCTCTTTTCTACCTAAATGATTCTCTGCTTTTCTCGTTGGGTGCCATCGAGGCAATTCTAACTCGTGCGATAGAATCAGACTGACCCCTAGGATCTTCTAGCCAGTAATTTTTACAAGAGCCAGATCTTTCTCCTGAGGAGCACCTGGGTGGGTTTGAACTACCAACCTTTTAATTAGCCCGAGTGCTTAACAGTTGCACTGCTAGGGCTCACCCCCTTGTAGCTTACTAGGAGCAAACAGGAAACTGAGATAAAGGAGGAAAGAATGTATATAGTAAAACCTGTGAAAACCTGAACCTATGTAAGATGGAAACCTGTCAGAGACGAAAAAGTCCGATATTATCCACTGTGACAAGAGCTCGAAAAATGGTTCAAGACTGCACCTTTTCAAAGGCAGAACTCTTGTAAGACTTGGGAAAACACGGTAGTCCCTCTCACAGGTTTCACTGTACAACTTGATGTTCCCGCCACCAAAGGAACAACCTTGTGGCTTGCTAGACCTAAGGGCAACAGTTCGAGCCCACTAGCAGCTCCTCAGGAAAAAGATGAGGCCTTTTAGTCCCATAAAGATTGACAGCCTTGGAAACCGTATACAAGGTTGTTATGAGTCGGAACCAACTCTACCATTCATGTTTGCCACATAATGAGCTAGTCTTTTTTTTTTTTTTAATAACCACTTCATTGAGTTAAAATCGCATACCGTACAATTTACCCATTTAAAGCTCAGAGTTTAACGGTTTTTATAGGCTCTGAGGGGGCGTCAACAAATTGGTGGAAAAATTCCATGATCTCGAATTCCATTTTATCATGAATTTTCTGAAGCCCGCTCGTATTCACAGAGTTGTGCGGCCATCACTACAATGTAATTCCAGAGCAATTTCTTCATCCCCCAAAGAAAGCCCGTCCCTTCCCATTTGGCTTCTGATGCATGGCGACCCCAAGCACCAACAGTCCTTCCTGCATCATCCCCACAAACAATTGCAGATGGGACCGCTGCGATCCGTAGAGTTCTCCCTGAAGGATTTTCAGAAGTAGACCGCCAGGTCTTTGTTAGTCTAGAAGTTCCACTGAACGTGTTCAGCGCCATAGCAACACGCAGGCCTCCAGTGACAGACGGGTGGTAGCCGCACGTGAAGTGACTAGACGGGGAATCAAACCCAGGTCTCCTGCACAAAAGGCGAGAATTCTACCCCTAACCCACCACCGTTTCCCTTCCATCCGCTGACGGCCACTAGCCTTTCTCTATAAATGTACCTCTTCTGGAGACATTGTTTTTTAAATCATATTTTATTACGTTTTGGAGACAGTTTACACAGTACATTAGGTACCCATTTGACAGTTTCTATACAGTTTGCTCATGATGTCAGTTTCTCCCCAACATCCGCTTTTCACTACATTCTGTTTGTTCCATTTCCGGTACTCTGGTTTCTCTGGCTCGTTATCTTCTCATCGTAAGTTTTACAGTAATTGTTGGCCTTTCAGTGGACAGACAAACAGAGTCAGACAATATCTGATCTTTTGTGAATACATAAGCTTTCCTAACACGTGTCCACTCCTGTCAATCTGTACTATCAGACGATATCGAGTCTTTCGTAAACATAGGAGCTTTTTAAACAGCTGTCCACTCCTGTGAACCTCCACACCTCCCTCCCTGGCTTAGACCATCATCATGTCTTCTCTAAATGGCTGCTTCTGTCTCCTCTTATCCATTACTGTCCCCCTTCAAACCCATGTTCCTTCACTCAGCAGCCCAGGCATCTGGTTCAAGGGTGGATTGCAGCCCACACTTACCTGTCAGAAAGGCCCCCAGTGGTTTCCTGTTGCACTCAGTGCCTGCAGGGTCCTGGGGACCGGCTTGCTGCCTTGTTCTCCTGTGACTCATTCATACTGAGGACTTCCTCCACCTCTCTGAGTCCTGTCTGTCTGTCTGTCTGTCTGCCTCTCCCCTCCTAGTTCTATGGCTTGTCTTGTCAGTATCTCCTTTTGTCATTCTCGCTCTAATTTTCTGGCCCTCTATCTCTGTTTCCTTCCCTCTTCTTTCTTTCCTGGGTTTTTTGTCTCCTTTTCTGAGGTTCTCTCTCCCCTCGCCCTCCATCCCGCCCCTCAGGGTCTCCATCTCCCCCTTGGGATTTCACCCTCACCTCAGAGTCTCCTCCCCAGGATTTCCAACTCCCCCTTCAGGGTCTCCGCCCCTTCCCCTCATACTTGCCCATCCCCTAGTCTCTGCGCCCCGCCTCCCCTCAGCCCCCAAGTCTCTGGCCCCTTCCTCTGAGTCCTGAGCTGCGCCCCTCGCCCTCGCCTCTGGGACAGGGCTCTCACCACCTGCCCTCCTCCCCGCCACAGGCCCGTTTTTCCGCTACCGCACCTACCTGGACTGGCTGGAGCAGCCCTTCCCGGGGGCCGTGCCCAGCCTACGGCCCCTGCTGCGCCGAGCCTGGCCGGCCCCGCTCTTTGGCCTGCTCTTCCTGCTCTCCTCCCACCTCTTCCCACTGGAGGCCGTGCGCGAGGACGCCTTCTACGCCCGCCCGCTGCCCGCCCGCCTCTTCTACATGATCCCCGTCTTCTTCGCCTTCCGCATGCGCTTCTACGTGGCCTGGATTGCGGCCGAGAGCGGCTGCATTGCCGCCGGCTTCGGGGCCTACCCTGTGGCCGCCAAAGCCCGGGCCGGGGCCGGCCCCACCCTCCAATGCCCACCCCCCAGCAGGTCAGGCGGCGGGCGGGAGGCTCCCCAAGACCCACCTGGCCCCATCACCAAGGGCTGGCCCTGCCTCTAGGAGCCAGGAGAGCGGGGAGCAGGGGGGTCAGGTTCACCAGCTGGTGTTAGCGGAGCGTCGCCGCGGTAGGGAACCCGAACTCCTCATAACTCCGAAGCCCCTCATTCTAGCGCTGTCGCCCTTCGTTTTTCGTCCGTGGTACCCCCATGTGTGTCAGAGTAGAAAAGACCCCCAGGGTTTTCAAGGCTGTGATCTTTCAGAAGCAGATTGCCAGGCACCTCTGGGTGGGTTCGAACCATTGACTTTCCCGCTGGTCGTTTGGGCCACGCAGGGACTCCGTAGTGGAGAGCTGCTTGCGGTTGCCAAGGAAGAGGAAGGTGGTGCCCCTCTGTTGCCATGGACGTATCACCCCATAACCAGGTTGTCCCTGGTTGCTAGGGATACCACTGTTGACCATGATGGAGGACTTTGGTTGCTAGGCTACCTACTGACCCTGGCGCATGCGAAGTAGGGTCTCTGGTAACCATGAGCTGCCCCTTCTACCTGGAAGGGTTGCTTTTTGCTGCTACAGGAACAGCAGCCCATTCAGCCAAGCTCTATGTGGAGGCCAGTGGCGCCTGTACAGAGAGCACCGTTCAGTTACCCTCTCTGTCCCTGAGAAATGAGCAGGTCCTCTAGAGGAAGGTGTACCAACCACCCTGGTAACCACGGACGCCTTCCTCCCGTTGCTGAGGAACAGAACTCCTTCAACTATGGTTGGCCCTGGTTGCTAGTGATCATTGTTCTTAGCATCTTTGTTGCCAAGTGTTGGGTGGCTTGGTCCCTTTCAATTCATATAGTAACCCCACGTGACAGAGTAGAACCGCCTCACAGGGTTTCCTGGGGTGTCATCTTTACAAGAGCAGATGGCCAGGTGTTTCTCTCAAGGAGCTGTTAGGTGGGTTTGAACTGGTGACCTTAAGGTTAGCAGCCTAGCAGGCAAGCGCTTAACCACTGCACCACCATGGCTCCTTTTCTGAGACTAAACCAAACCAAACCCATTGCCGTTGAGTTGATTCCGACTCAGCTTCCCTGTGAAAGCAGAGCACCAGGCAGGGCTCCTTCCTAGCACCTTGACTGCTAGGGAAATAGAACTGCTAGTCACCAAGGGCTCTTGTTGCTAGGGAAGCATCACCCTCGATGTGTTACTGGGGAAATGGTACCCCTAGCAACCAGAAGTAGGTGGAGGCCTCTCCTGAGCAACCTTACTTAGCCAGATGACGTCCTCTGAGGTTAAGACAGGGTAGCAGCTTAAAGTGTCAATTATGACCTGCTCCTTGGGGCCAGGGTCCAACCGTTCTGTATCCACTCTATCCTGTATCCATTGCTTTCCAAGTCAATTCCAACTCAGCAACCCAATAGGACAGGGTCTCCAAGGCTGTCATCCATATGGGCACAGACGGCCTCCTTTCTCCTGTGGAACTGTCGATGGTTCGAACCACCAACCTTTCGGTTAGCAGCTGAATGTTTATGCCACCAGGGCGCCTTGTACCATTCCCTAGCAATCGTGAACTGCCGTTCTGATGGGCAAGTAGCTCCCCATGTCAACTTGTCACCACTGCCCTAGTGACCAGGGGCTGACCTCCAATTATAAGGAAGTTGTCCCCCAGAAGCTGTACGGATGGCTCCCCTCCTTTCGAGCAGCTGTCTAGAGGTCACATGGGCCAAGGATATTCCCCAGAACTGGGAGCTTTGGCACCAGTGACCCAGCTGGAGATGACACGTCTCCAACAACCAGGAAAAGGCCCTTGCCCAGAGCTGTTCAAAACACAAAGGTCTTATTGCTAAGGAATACCCTTTTCCTAGTAACAGGCCATGGAGGTGTCATGTGGGCCCAGAATGTCTCCCCCTAGCAACCAGAAGCTACTTTGTTGTTAGGGGTGATGCTTCCATAGCAACCGCAGTGTCAGATAGTCTGGGCAGGACTTTACTGGATCTAGTAGACTATGCTACCTGCGAAGGTATGAATTATTCCTATACGGGAGCCCAGTGAAGGGTCAGGCTGCTAAGCTACACGTCCTTAGGAACCAGAGTCTTCTGAGACTCTCCATAGCTGGCGCAGGTCCTGTTACCAAGAGGAGAACCCCACTGTTGGTGAATTGGGTTCCTTCATCGCCCTCCCCCCAAGGCTCCCTCTGGACTCCCCTCTCCTTTTGCCCAAGCTAGTCCAATGGCCATCAAGCTGTTGTTGCCTGGCCACATCCCCCTCCTTAGCTTCCGTCTGGGGCTGGGACAGGAGCAGGCATTGGGAGGGGGCCTGGCTAAGCTGCATGTCTGTCCCCCACCCTCAAACTCCACCCCCCCACCCCCCAGTCCGGAGAAGGCGGCCGCCCTGGAGTACGACTATGAGACCATCCGCAACATCGACTGCTACGGCACGGACTTCTGCGTGCGGGTGCGGGATGGCATGCGGTACTGGAACATGACAGTGCAATGGTGGCTGGCGCAGTATATCTACAAGAGTGCACCCGCCCGCTCCTACGTCCTGAGGTGAGCCTACTAGTGAACTACATCTCCCAGCAGATCCTGAGGCAGCCTCTGGTTTCCCTGGCTGGACCTCTGGCCAAGAGGCTCATGGGAGTTGTAGTTTTTTGGCCATTTAGGACTCCCCCCTCCCCCCCCCCAGACTTCTGAGGTAAGTGGTTTACCTCCTCTGTGTGCCTCAGTTTGTACTGCTGAAAAATGGTCAACTTCATTTGATAGAAGTGGTGTTCTGGAGAGGATTCAGCCTGTGGACTTGGGAGCTAGACTTTTGAGAACCTTGGCCCCACTGACTGCTGATAACCTTTGGACGAGTTAGTTGCCCTGGGGGTCCCTCCTGATCGTTCCCTCAGCTGTTACCTGTTTCACAGGTTGATGTGAAGATTGAGTGGGATGAAGCGTGAAAAAGACTTTAAGTGAGGCCTCACTAAGCCAGAGAGCTTCACAAAGTTTGTGGGAAAATGGAATGAAAAGAATGGAATTTTTCCATGAACTTTTTGAAGCTTCTCATATATTACACACACACACACACACACACACACACACACTAAAACCAAACCGTCACCCTTGAATCAGTCCCAGTTCCTGGTGACCCCATGTGTGACAGAGCATTCTCTTGACTAATCTTCATGGGAGTCGATCACCAACCACGTCTTCCTTCTGTGGCGCTGCTGGGTGGCTTTGAACCACCAACCATTAGGTTAGTGCTGTGTGCACTACCACGTTTCAGTGCCTGTCCTTTTTTAGCTGTTTGTTGAGTGGAGACTTTGTGCCACAAGGTGTTGTCTCTTAGAGATCAAACACTGTAAATACAGACCTGTGTCATCCCCGAAACTGAGGCTCAGAGAAGCTAAGTAACTTGCCGGGTATCACTCCGCCTGGCTCGAGCTGCCAGGGGAGGCCAGGTCACACCATGACACCTCTTATGACAGATGCACCAGTGCAGCTAGACCACCTGCTTGAGTGATTGGGTTTACCTTTGAAGCTCACTGTGTCTGACCGGGCATGGAGAACGGAATGGAGGTGGGAAGGGCAGGGAGAAGACATATTTGGAGACTGTGTGGATGTTCAGGGGGCAGATGACACCTTTGGATAAGGACCAGTGGCCCAGAAGTGGACTGGACCCAATGATGGGTGTGAGGGAGTGAGGGGATGGCTGTGAACCATCCTGAGAAGGGAGAATGGCGAGGATGAAGAATAAGGTCCCTGGTTGGCATACATGGTTTGTGCCCAACTGCTACCTGAAAGGTTTGTGGTTTGAATTCACCATGCCCAGAACAGAAGAAGGCTTGACCGTATGCTTCCAGAAAGACTGCTGCTGTTAGGTGTTACCGAGTCCATTTCAACTCCTAGCAACCCTATGTGTGACCGAGTAGAACTGCCCTATAGGGTTTTCTAGGCCGTCATCTTAAGGGGGAGAGCTGTGGTGTGGCGCTGGAGGATCAGCACTGACCTGCTAACCACAAGGTTGACAGTTCAAACCCACCAGCTGCTCCTCGGAAACCCTATACAGGGTTGGCTATAAGTCAGAAGTGACTTGACGGCAGTTAACAACAGCGTCTTAAGGTTGGTTGAATGCTCAGCTGCCATCGGAAAGGTCTTGGATTCAAGCCCATCAGGAGTTCCAGGGTTAAAAGTCGTGGCAATCTAGTTTTATAAAGATGACAACCTTGGAAAGTTAAGGGGCACTTCCACTCTGTGGTGCATGGGGTCGCCAGGTCACATGGACTCAGCCGTAACTGACAGCAGAATGCAGAGTTGGAGGTGGGTGTAAGCTCACTAACTTGGAGAAGAAACCACTGGGGTTCCAGCTGGGGTTATTGGAGAGGCAGCAGGTTATGTGATTCTGGCGCTTAGGGGAAGGGTTGGTGTTACTAGTAAACACTTGCAATACAGGTGATATTTAAAGCTTAGGACTGAGGGCCAGGTCAGTGACCAAGGCATGCCAGTGTTTAGACCAGCAGGCCACAACAGGGGCAGTTTTTGTACAGGTCTAGAGGCATTTTTGAAGTCGCTTGTGGGAGTATGACTGGTACACGGTGAGTAGAGAACCTTACTGTCAACAGGACAGTCCTGTTAGGGATTGAATTGCATCCCCTCCAAATACATGTTGTAAATCCAACAGAAAGGTCAGCAGTTTGAACCCACCAGCTGCCTCCAGGGAGAAAGATTTATAGCCCCAGAGACGCCAGGAGCTGCTCTGCTCTCTACGGTTCCTGTAAGGCCGAGGAGTTGGAATTGATTCGACCTCTGTGGCTTGGGTCTGGTTTTTGGTATATCTGTGGTTATAACCAAGGAGCTCTGGGGACACAGTGATGGGCTGCTACCTGCAAGGTCAGCGGTTCAAACCCACTAGCCGCTCAGTGGGAGAAAGATGAAGCAGTCTGCTGTCGTAAAGATTTACAGTCTCGAAAACCGTAAGGAGCAGTTGGGCTCTGTCAGTAGGGTCTGGACTGGATGGCGGTGGAGAGATGGTGGTCTCACTTGGGAATGAGGTTTCTTCATTACGTTAATAAGGCAACAGCTTTAGTGTAATGTGTGTCTGAGTTGTGCCAACTCATAGTGACCCTGTATGGGGTTCCCAAGGATGTCAATCTTTATAGGAGCAGAAAGCCTCATCTTTCTCACATGGAGCAGCTTGTGGATTCAAACTGCTGACCTTGTGGTTAGCAGCCAGTAACGTACTGCCCCACCAGCACCCTTTTGATTAGAAGAGAACGAATTAAGCTGGCAGCAAGTAGGCAGAGATGGGGGAGACAAATGCCAGGCCACATGATCACCAAGGAATAGAAACCCAAAGAGACCAGACTTTCTAGAAAGTCACACTTCGGTTTCATAAACTGAGGAAATAAATTTCTGTTTGTTAAAGCACCCGTCCTCCCATGTTTCCACTACAGCAGCCCCAGACACGTGAGACAGTCCCCAAACAAAGAATGGTCTGGCGCAAGACGTCAGAGATGTTACTGGTGCCGAGGTCAAGTAACCCTCGTGTAGACAGACGGAGGAAGCCAGCTGAGGAGACAGACAAGTAGCCGCCAGTGGGATAGGAGAGTCCCAGTGGCTATTCCTGAGCCAAGGAAACCCTGTGTTTAAGGCATGGGGCGGCCGGGGGAGGGGGGTCATTGTGAGAGTCAGCGAGATGAAGACTAGCACCCAGGAGCACTGTGCACCTGTGAAAAATTGTTACATGAGACCAGACAGTCAACAACAATGCAACCTATGACAGCTAGAACTTGACGGGACTGTCTTGATAGCCCAGGTCTCACAAGTTTTCCAGCTTTGCAGACTTTACTGTGCTTTTTAAACAAAGGGGGGAGGGTGTAGGGAAACTAGATGAATGGAAATGGAACAACCAGAATGCAAATCATGAGAACGTACCCAATGTCACTGAACAACTTGTAGGAATTGTTGAGTCGAACCTACTGAGCTGTTATATAAGAGCTTCACCAAAGGCACACACACAAAAATTACTTTAAAAAATCTATTGATAGGCACACTTCATTTTACTGCACTTGGCTCAAGTCCACTTTTTTTTTTTACAAATTGAGGGTTTGTAGCAGCCCTGCATTGAGCAAGTGTGTCGGTGTCATTTTCCCACCAATCCATGCTCACTTCATGTCCCTCTGTCCCATTTTGATTATTCTCACGAGGTCGCGAAATGTTTTATCACGCTGTCACCCACTTCACATACTACAGCCCAGGCCAGCGTAACTTCCAGATGCACTGCGGGTGTTGGTAAGCACCTGGGAGTCCGTTTCAACGCACAGCGTCCTTTTGCAGAAGCAGAAAGCCTCATCTTTCTGCCAAGGAGTGGCTGGTGGGCTCGACTCACCGACCTGGTGATTGGCAGACCAGTGCTTGCCACACTCGCTTTATGGCAGTGATCTGGAACCAGCCCACAGCATCTCTGAGGTCTGCCTGTAAATAGGAAGGGAGGGATGCAGGTAGGGCCAAGGCCGAAGTCTCCGGTCAGCTTGAGGGGCGTCCCTTGGGTGAGTGGACGGCAGTGGATTCGGGGTCACATCGTCTTTGGAAGGCAGTCACGGTCCAGGGGAGGAGGAAGCCAGTGGTCACTTGTGTGCACTTGCTGGACTTCGGATGCCCGGGAGCAGTCAGTGTACCCCTCACAGCTTCATTTTCATTTCTTACCTTGACTGTGAATTGGGTGAAGGTTTACAGAGCAGATTCATTTTCCATTCAATGCGGATACATTTTGTGTCCCCTCACTGGTCACTGTGAAACACCACTTGGCCCACTTCCTCGCTGCCTTTCCTCCTTTTCTAACGCTTCTGAACTTTGTCCTCAAATGGCTGAGTGTTCTAAGGATTGCTTACTTCCATAGTGGTGGTGTTTTTGTTAATTCTTCATGGGCTCTTGATTTGGTGCCGACTCAACTCAGTGACCCTATATAGGGAGGGTTTCCAAGGAGCGGCTGGTGGGCTTGAACTGCCAGCCTCGAAGTTAGCAGTGCAGTTTCTATACTTGTTTATTGTTTGACTGGAAAGGAACCTCAGGGGTGACTTCAGGCCTGAAGGATGGCTAGGTTTCTGGGGTTTTGAGAGGGCTGGCCTTATTTATGGGTCCCCGAAGAAGGAAGGCCTACAGACTGGAGACTCAGGCAGTGGGTCTCAAGCCTTAGCCTGCCTCAGACTCAACTAGAGAACTTGTTACAAAACAACCACACTGGTCCCACCTGAGCCCCTGGTGGGGCCAGAGTGGGGGGCCTAGAATTTACATTTCAAACCAGTCCCCAGGTGGCATTGATGCTGAACCAGCCACCTCACTGGACTGAGGAATTAGAATTCCATCTGGGGGAACTGGGGTCTTAGGACGAAAACCATAGAACTTACAGGAAAAGAGAATGCAAGATTCTGGATGGGGAACTGGGGGCTCCTGTGTTCATGAAGGAGGCAGATACCCACAGCCTCCTTGAATCCTCAGGAGGTAAAGTAAAGGCCCTACGGTCTAGGTCTAAGGGAAGAGGGTGCAAGACAGGCGCTCCACACACACACACACACACACACAGACACACACACACACCACCCCATCCCCGGTCTGATGGAAGGAGGGGCTGGGTGACTTCTGGGTTTGAGGGTGGAGGGGTCTGATCTGAATTTCTGTCTGAGGGAGGAGGGGGCAGGGGCTCTCGCCCTAGACTTCTGGGTCTAAGGGAGGAGAGTGAGTGGGCAGGACACCTCTAAGTCTGAGGGAGGAGGGGTCTGGGAGCCAGGACTCCTGGGTCTCAGGGAGGAGGGGTTAGGGGTCGGGACACCCACTGGGGTCTGAAGGGGCCAGGATTCCCCGGTCCTGACTCGCAGGTACCCCCACAGGAGCGCCTGGACGATGCTGTTGAGCGCCTACTGGCATGGCCTCCACCCTGGCTACTACCTGAGTTTCCTAACCATCCCGCTGTGCCTGGCGGCCGAGGGGCGGCTGGAGTCTGCCTTGCGGGGGCGCCTGAGCCCAGGGGGCCAGAAGGCCTGGGACTGGGTACACTGGTTCCTCAAGATGCGCGCCTATGACTACATGTGCATGGGCTTCGTGCTGCTCTCGCTGGAGGACACGCTCCGCTACTGGGCTTCCATCTACTTCTGTGTCCACCTGCTGGCCCTGGCGGCCCTGGGGCTGGGGCTGGCGCTGGGAGGAGGCAGCCCCAGCCGCCGGAAGGCCGCGCCCCAGGCCTCGGGCCTCACCCCAGAAAAGCTCCGCGAGGAGTGAGCTGCTGCGATCTGCCCTGGCCACCACCCAACCACCGCGCTTTCCCCGGGAAATGCCATACACCACACCAGGCTGCTGTCTCCGCCCCCAGAAGAGAGTCCTGACGGGGTACGGTCCCTTTGCCCAGGCTTTCACTTCATGGGAGCAAAGCTGGGGTTCCGCCCACCTGCTTTCCAGTCCTGAGTCTCACCCACCCCTCCTGTTAAAATCAAGGGATCGCCCAGAGAGCCCCCTGTACCTGCTTCAGGACCACCCACATCCAGACAGTGCAACCCCACCCCCAAACCTCAGGGACTGCTGGGGAAGGGGGTGCCCCGCACACAGTCCTTTAATGTGGAGCCTCAGTGTGGGATGAGGAACTAAAGGACCAGGCTCCAGGAGTGGAGGACCCTCTTGTTCTCATCTCTTTCTGCCCCATTTTTATCTCATCAAATCATTTTAAGAACTGGAAGGGGATAAACTTCCGGTTCCATGGAGGGGAAACTGAAGTGCGGACTACCAGGATTTCCAGGATTCGTGACCGCCATCTCCTTAACGCTACTGTCTGAGCCACGGCAGGGTCCCTATAACCCCCGTGATCCTCTTGTCCTGGGCCCAAGTTGAAAGAGGGTCAGTGTTTAAATCGTTCCCAATAAAGTGTTGCACAAACAACTGTGTGTGTGTGTGTATCTCTGGGGAGAGCCATGGCCTGTCACTGCTGAATTCCAGCACCTTGGAACAAAGCTAAGGCGTTCGGGGCGTGTGTGGTTAAGTATTTGGCTGCTACCCAAAAGGTCAGCAGTTCAAACCCATGTACTGCTCCAAAGGAGATGCAGAAATGGCTTTGGTAAAGACAGCTTTAAAGGTCCTATGGGGCCACTAAGCCCTTGCCCTGTAGACCCACTGCCTTAGGTCTCTAGTGCAGCTTTAAGAGAAAGCCCACAAACGGGGCCTTTAACAGACTCACTCTCATCAGTTATGGGGCCGGAAGCCCACGGTCAGGGCAGTGACTCCAGAGGAAGCCTTTCTCTCAGCTCTGAAGGAAGCTTCTTGTCTTTTGTGAGCGTGTGCTCCTGGACGATCTTGATGTCACTTTGCTGTTACTACGTGCTGTCAAGTCGGTTCCAACCCATAGTGACCCGGTTTCCAAGGAGCGGCTGGTGGTTTTGAACCAGCAGCCCTTTGGTTAGCAGTCCAAGGCTTCCCCTACAGCACCACACTTAGCACCTCTCTTCCCCCATCTCTGTTTCTTAGTTTATGTTGAATTTATTTTATGTCTCAAGAGATTAACTCAAGATAGTGGTTACGAATCGGGCTGCGAACCTTAAGGTCAGCGGTTCGAAACTACCAGCTGCTCCGCGGGAGAAAGATGAGGCTTTCTACTCCCGTAAAGATTTACACCCTCGGAAACCCTATACAGGGTCGCTATGGGTCGGAACCGACTCGATGGCACATAACAACAACAAAAACAATATAAACTATACTGATCCCACCTCGTTAACATAAAGACAAAAGCAAAAAAATAAAACTGCCATTGAGTTTCCAACTCATAGCGACCCTCGGGAGGGTTTCTGAGGCTGTACATCTTTATGGGAGCAGAGAGCCTCATCTTTCTCCTGCGGAACGGCTGCTGGGTTTGAAATGTCAACCTTGACATTAGCAATCCAGTGCTTATCCTACAGTGCCACCAGGACTCCTTAACATATACCAAATGGGACAACCTCAGACACAGACATTAGGGTTACATCATGTATTGGGGTAGGGGTGGGGGAAACACTCCAACCCTAACAGCCACAAAGAGACCGGGTCTGCTCAATGACAATGGATAAGGACCCAGGCTGCACGCTCAGGACTTCAGTTCCCAGGAGGCCTTTGGATCCCGGACCTTCCCCACAGGCCATCTGGTGGCCAGGTACAGACCTGGCCTAGGCCCCTCCCTTAGCCCCGGGGCAGTCCACACCCTAGTGCCCGCTAAACACGGAAACAGCCAAGCTTGGTGGCCATGGAGGAGATCCCCACCTGGGCACCTGACACCAGGGACATCTCAGAAGGATGGCTGGCACCCCGGAAGGCCAGAGCAGGTTGGGAAGCCAGAGGGGTTCAGATCCAACCCTGGTGGTGAAGAACCGTCTATCTGGGGCAGAAGGGAGGCCTAGACTCCTGGGTCCTGAGGGAGGAGGAAGCTGGGGATCCAGACTGGCGTCTTCCAGGAGAGGGCAGGGGCTGGGCCATTGGGATGTCTGAGAAATGCAAGGAGCTGGGGGGTCACAACTCCGGAACAAGACAAGGCAGTCCAGGGCTGAATTCCTCACCCGGCTCCCAAGATCAAGGGTGCTTGGGAATACAACCTTGGGGCCTTGAGGAGTGGTTGGATTTTCAGACTCCAGGGTCTGAGGTAGAAGAGAACCAAGACTTCCGGGTCTGAGGGAGGAAGGTGCTGAGGGGCCAAATGTCCTGGATCTGAAGGAGGAGGGACCAGAGCTTCCCTGTCTGAGGGAGAAGGTGTTGGGAGTCCAAGAGTTCTGGGTCTGAGGAAGGAGGGAACCAGGATTTCCAGGTCTGAGGGAGGAGAAAAATCCAAATTCCAGAGTCTGAGAAAGGAGGGGCCTCAGGGCTCTGAGAGAGGAGAAGATGACCCCCCAGGTCTGAAGGAGGAGGGGTCTGAGAGGCCACAACTCCTGGATCTGAGGGAGGAAGGGTCAGGACTCCAGGGTTTGAGGGAGGAGATGTTGGGAGTCTGGGAATCCAGGGTCTTAGGGAAGAGGGGCCAGGACTCCTAGATCTGAAGGAGGAAGAGGCCGGGTCTAGGTCCTCCCAGCTCCCATCCCTTGTTCCCCAGGCCAGTCCCTGTCCTCTGTTCTGAATGAGCTCCCCAGTGCGGCCACCCTCCGATACCGAGGTCCTGGCGTGTTGCCTTGGGGGGCACTGGAGGAGGAGGAGGAAGATAGAGCCGAGAGCATCCAGGCCTTCATGGAAGCCTCCCAGAACGAGACGCAGGAACCTCGACCCTCAAGAGAGTTGCCCTGGCCCATGCAGGCCCGACGGGTGCACAGGTGAGACCCACCTGCTGCTCAGACCCCCAAGGCGGCCTTTTCTCCCTGCCCTCTTCACGTCTCTTCTCTCCAACCATCTTTCTTAGTATAAAAATGGTTGGTAGAGGTGCCTGACTCCCTGTGATTTCACAGAGGGGACAGAGAATCAATACCAATGGCAGTCCAAGACTGACACCTAGTAGACAGAGGTCACACTTGTCCCCTTTCTCCAACCTCCTGTCACACTTGTTCTGACACCAACTGTCCCTCCTACAGCTCTCTACTCCTCTGGTGGGTCCCATAACTTGTTGCAATGGCCACACTGAACTCACAGACAATAGTGACATTATGGAGTTTACCAGGGAAATTAACAAGTTAAAATTCAGAATCAGGGACTATTTAAAGAGCCCTGCCGGCAGGCATGCCTCTCTGCCAGTCTTTGGACCCTTGGCCCAGCCCATGCCCTGCTCAGGTAAATGTTACAAAGCTCTTTAAGCTCTACGAGTGAGTGCCAAGAGGCACCTCACTCCGCCAACAAGCCCTCCATGAGCTAGGAAGCCCACCACACAACCACACTGTCTCCTGCTACTCTGCTGACGCCCCTTCTCGACTGCTGTTTCTCCCTGTCTCCGGTGTCACAGCTCTGTCCAGGAGGGTCTTAGCATAGGGACCCTGGGTCCAAAGGATGTACTCTGCTCCCGTCTCTTGTTTTCTTGATGGTAGTGAGACCCCCATTTCCACTGCTTTAATGGCTCATTTTAAACCTTGTTGTTATGTGCCGTGGAGTCCGTTCCGACTCATAGCAACCCTGCATAGGGTTTCCAAGGCTGCAAATCTTTCCAGAAGCAGAAACCCTTATCTTTCTCTCGCGGAAGAGCTGGTAGTTTCAAACTGCTGAGCTTGAGGTTAGCAGCTCGATTGGTAATCACTATGCTACCAGAGTTCCTTATTTTAAACCTAACAGGATGGTAAAACCGATCATTTCCCTTGTTAGGGTTCCATATACCTTATTTGCATCATCCCACCCCAACAAGGTTGCCATGCACCTTATTTACATTATTAGCAGGCACCTCATTTGAATAGTGACAAATCTATGGCTAGAAGAGCCACGTGAAGTGATTCACTGTACTTAATAGCTTACCTTCTCTGCTTCTCTGGGTCTCTGTTCTCTCCCTCCCAAGCTCTCATCTCTGTTGTCTCCCGTCTCCCCAAAACTGGTCTCCATCTCTCTCTCTGTCTCTCCCATTTATCTTTCTGTGTTGGAAATCTGTTGTTAACGGTTTTCATTGTTTTATGCTTCCATCTCTGCCTGCGCTCCTCTCCAAAGCCCGTAACTCTCTTTTTCACTTTGTTCTTCCCTCTCTCCCCTACATAATTGGCATGCCCAGTGAAAGATGGAAAGGCTGGTCCTCTGGTTCAGAAATAAGTGCACACTGTCCGATTGATTGCTTCCTTTCTTCCTGCGTTTCTCCCTCTCTCCATTCTTACTCCTGCCGCTCTTCCTTTTCTTCCTTCTTCCCTCCCTCCCTTCCATTCTTCCTCCCTCTTTCCCTTACTTCTGTTTGTTTTTAATTGCTTTATATATGCACATATTTTAAACCTTATTTTAGGAAAATGCATAAGAAAGGGATGTACAGTTTCAAAGAATACTGAGAAGTAACCCTACCTAGGGGAGAAGATAAAGAAAGCATCACCTCAGAGGCACCCAAATGCCACCCCTCTGTCAACCCTCCTCCTCCCACAAGACAATTGGAATCACCATGTCCTCACTTTTTTTTGCTTAAATATTCCTTTACCATCTGAGCTGCATTCCTAAAGGAGCCCTGGTGGCATAACAGTTAAGCACTTGGTTGCTAAATGAAAGGTCAGTGGTTCAAACCCAATCAGTAGCTCCATGGAAAACAGACATGGTGATCTGCTTCTGCTAAGATTTCAGCCTGGGAAACCCTATGGGGCGGCTCTACTCTGTCACACGGGGTCGCTATGAGTCAGAATTGACTTGACTCCACCCAACAGCAACAACATAGATCCATAAACCGGAAAGTCTCATTGTGCTTGCTTGGGAACTTGATGTAAATAGAATTGTGCAGTATTTATTATTTGGTGTTTGGCGTCTTACAGTTGTTCTTGCGTGCCATTGAGGAGATCCACACTCATAGAGATCCATGTGTTACAGGGCAGAACTGCCTCATAGGGTTTTCTAGGCTGTAATCTTTAAGGGTTGGGCTGTTATCCGAAAGTTGGCAGTTCGAACCCTCTGTGGGAGGAAGGGGAAGATGAGGCAATCTGTTTCCACAAAGATTCACTGCCTGAGACATCCTGTCCAGTGGTTTTACTCTGTCCTGTAGGGTTGCTGTGAGTCAGAATCAACTCACGGCCGTAGGTTTGGAATCTTTATGGACGCAGATGACCAGGTTTTTCTTCCTCTGAGCCGCTGAGTGATTAACTGTTACACCACCACGGCTGTGGTTCAGTGGGTTCTGCATTTGGGCTGCTTCCAGTTAGGGGTTGCTAAACACTTCCTAGGACTTCCTGGGCGGTAGGTACAACAGTTTACCCTCTCAACTACTTACCAAAAAGTTGCAGACTTGAGTCCCCCCGCAGAGGAATCTCTGAAGAAAGGCCTGTTGGTTTCTGAAAAATTGTTGTTGTTGTTGTTAGGAGCCATCGAGTCGGTGCCAACTCATAGCGCCCTTATGCACAGCAGAATGAAACACTGCCCGATTCTGGGCCAACCTCACTATTGTTGCCACGTTTGAGCCCATTGATGCTGCCACTTGGCCAATCCATCTCATTGGGGGTCTTCCTCTTTTTCTCTGACCCTTCACCTCACCAAACATGATATCCTTCTCCAGCGACTGGTCCCTCCTGACAATATGACCTGAGAGACGAAGTTTGGCCATCTTGTCTGAAAAATTAGCCACTGAAAACACCCTGGCTCACAATTGTACTCTGGCATACATGGGTTCGCCATGCGTCTGAGTGGACTCCAACTGGCAAGTCCTTCTTTGACTCTTGACTCTATTTCCCTTCCAGGAAGAGAGTCAATCAGGGCCAAGTGACCCATGGCTCAGGATCTAGGGCAGAGAACTGGGCGCGGATGCTGCGGAGATCCAGAGAAAAGATGCGGGAAAACTGGCGTACCCTGCAGCCCTGGTCATGGACACTGAAAAAGATTGGGGGTGCGTTACGGTTTGCTGGGGTGTTGGGGACAGGGCTTGGTTAACTGCCAGGAGAAGGGGCGAAGCCTGGGATTCGACCCCCAGGAGTAGGAAGGAGAGGCGGGGCCTGGCAGCACGGGAAAGAGAAGGGGCGGGCCGTGTGGCCCGCAGGGAGAAATAGGAGAGAAGGGCGGGGCCTGGCAACAGGCACAGGACAGGGGCGGGACCTTGGAGCCTGGAGGTAGAAGTAGCTGATAGTAAAGGCAAGGCCTTAGAGTCAGTTGGTAGCAGGGTCAGGGAGGAGGGGCCGGACTTCTTGGAGCCTGTAGGGAGGAAGCGGTGATATTTTGGAGCCAACAGGAAGGAGGGGCAGGACCTGACAACCCCAAGGAGGCGGGGCGAGGAGGAGGGACAGTCTGAGAGCCCGAGCTGGAACCCCAAGCTTCTCTCTGCTGCCCCCTGCAGGTCAGTTCGGGGCTGGCACCGAATCCTACTTCTCTCTGCTGCGCTTTCTGCTCTTTCTCAACGTGTTGGCCGCTGTGCTGAAGGCATGCATGACACTTCTGCCTACCTGGTTGGAAGGGAACCCACCGGGGCCCCCCAACCCTAGCATCTCCTCGCCCTGCGGCTCCTACAACCCAAACCCCCAGGGCCTGATCACCTTCTCCAGCCAGCTCTTCAACTTGCTCTCAGGAGAGGTGTGTGTTGGGGTCCCTGGGAGAGACCGCACTCATCTGAGTCCAGGTGCCCTTGATGACCCCTAGAGACTGGCCATCAGGCCCAGCTTGTTGGCCTCTGCCTCCACCTAGCTCCATGGGGGAACTCGGTTCGCCTTCCCTCTTCAGGGCTATCTAGAATGGTCTCCTCTCTTCTATGGATTCTACCCGCCCCGCCCGCACCTGGCACTCACATACCTGTGCTCAGTCTTCCTCATTGGCCTCGTCTGTCTCCTGCTCATTTTGCACCGGTCAGTGACACCCCGTACGCACCCCTTGATGGGCAGGGGGAGGGAAAGTCTATGGTCCTCTCCACAAAAGTTCCCTTCCTCTCCGAGTCAAATCAGTTTTAAAACGTTTAAGTACTAAAGGGTATGGGTGGGTCCCTGAGCTGCACGAACGATTTGCACTCAACAACTAATCTAAAAAGTGGTTACGAGTTGGGTTGCTAACCTTAAGGTCTGCAGTTCCTCAGGAACCCTGTGCAGGGTCACTATGAGTCAGAACGGACTCCACGGCACTTAACAACAATCCCACTTTTAGTGTGCGCTGCCATCTGGTGGGGGCCTGTGTAATTGCATGTCACCAACCTCGACTCCTTTGGGACACATTTGTTCCACTAATTGTATCAAAATCCATGTTACCTCCAAAATATTTTTTTCATTCATTCAAAATGCCTGTTATTGAAAGTGCATGGTTTCAACAAAAAATCCAAAGGGTTAGTTACGTACAAGTACTTTCTGTAAAAGTAAAGGTAGACTTTTAGTTTTGTGAGCCAACTACTTGAAAAAGATTCGTGGTTAGAAGCCACCAGCCACTTTTCTGGAGAAAGATGCTGCAGTCAGCTTCTGGAAGGATTTACAGTCTCGGAAAGCCTAGGGCATAATTCTAGTCAGTTCTACTGGGTGGCTATGAGTCAGAATCGACTCCACGGCAGTGGGTTATTTTGAACTCAACCCTGCTATTATAGCACTAAAGCCGCCAAAGACAGTATGTAAGCCAATCAGAGTGACTATGTTCCAATCAAATTTTATTTAGAAAAAGGCATTGGGCATTGGACTGGATTTGGCCCGTGAACCATAGTTTGTCAACTCCTGGGAGCGAGAGAGAAACCCATGTTCCATGGATGCCTAATTCTCTTTGTTTCTGTCCATTTCTCTGGTTCTCTCCCACCACTACCCTGACCCCAGGCTTCACAATTCCTCATTCTTTATGTGTTGATCTCCCTTTCTAACTCTGTCCCCACGCCCACCCCCTGTCCCCTGCTTTCTACACTCTCTGTAGCTTTATCCTTTTAATCTTTTACCCTATCTTTATGAGCGTCTGCCCTCTTTTGGGATGGCACTGTAGGATCAGCACTGAACTTCGGACCACAAGGTTGGAAGTTCAAATCCACCAGCTGCTCCTTGGAAACCCTATACAGGGTCGCTATGAGTCGGAACCGGGCTCCACGGCACTCAACAAAAACAACAGCCCTCTTTTGGGTCTATCTCTGACTCTCTTGATCTCTGTCTTGGAAGACTGTATGTCTCTGCCCCTTTGATCTGTCCCTCACTAGGTGACAGCTGGAAAAAACGTCAAGGGTCTTGTTAGGTTGATTCTTACTCATAACGACCCTATAGAACAGAGTAGAATTGCCCCACAGAATTTCCAAGCCTGAAATCGTTACAGAGCAGACTCAGGTCTTTCTTCCGCTGAGCCTCAAGGTCGGTTCTAAATGCCAACCTTTTGGGCTCATTTTCCTGGGTGTCCCATAAGAGGGGTGACCCTGTGGGGTGCCCTCTCTCTCAGTTCAGTGTCCGGGATGAAGCAGACGTTGTTGGCCGAGTCGGGGGCGCTGACCAGCTATAGCCATCGTGTGTTCTCGGCCTGGGACTTCGGCCTCTGCGGGGACGTCCACGTGCGACTGCGCCAGCGTAACATCCTCTTTGAGTTGCAGGTGCGCGTAGGGGGTGGAGTCTATGGCTCGTGGGCGGAGCTTGTTGCTGTTGTGATGTGCCCTAGAGTTGGTTTGGATTTATCGCGGCCATGTATAGGATTTTCGAGGAACGGCTGGTGAGTTTGAATCGCTGACTTTGCGATTCAAACCGACCTTGCATTCCAGTGCTTATCCTACAGGACCACAGGTGGGCAGGTCTAGATAGTGACAAAAGGAACTGCCGCAAAACTAGGCGTAACTCAGAGGTTTCCAGAGATGCTGGGAGGGACTCTTCTAAAGGCTCTGACTCTGGCTCTACAAGCTCTGAGAAGCTGGATCGAAGGGGCGTGGTCTAAACATCCTTGGTGTAAGGGGGCACGGCCACATGTGGGCGTGGTGTAAAATGATGGGCATGGGTGATGGGCGGGACCTGGAAAACAAAGTTGATACAGTTAGAACTGGAACTCCAGGAAGGGAGCCCTGGTGGGACATTAGGTTAAGCCTTGGGCTGCTAACCCCAAGGCTGGCAGTTCAAATCCATGAATCCTCCTGGGTCTGAGGGAGGAGGGGGCTGGGGATCTGAACTCATGGTCTGAGAGAAAGTAGATTAAGTACTGGACTGCTAACCGCAAGGTTGGTGGTTCAAATCCACCAGATGCTGGACGGGGGAAGATTTACAGGTTCGGAAACCTGTATAGATTTACAGGTTCGGAAACCCTATGGCGCAGTTCTCCTCTGCCCTGGAAAGTCATTCTGAGTGGGAATGGATTCTAAGGTAGTGGGGATGGATTCCCCAGGTGGGGATGACCGAAGGGTGGAGCTTGGATGGTGTACGGGGGACGTGGGCGGGGCGTGGAGAACTAAACGGTTAAATCCGACCAGGAACTCCCTGCAGGCGTGAAGTGTAGGGCGGGACGAGGGGAGGGGGGCGGGTCTGGAGTGCTGGGCGGGGCCTGGAGTGGGACCAGTGAAAAACCCTTGACCGGTGGAACGAGGACTTATTTAGGGGGACTGGTCTGCATCCGTTCCAATTGAAACCGGATCCCAGAACCACCAGAATGGGGCTGAAGGTGAAGAAGTGTCTTCTGGCCTCAGGTGGAGCTCGAGGAAGCAGTGGTTCGGCGCCAGGCTGCAGTGCGGACCCTGGGCCAGCAAGCCCGAGTGTGGCTGGTCCGAGGGCTACTCAATCTGCTGGTGATGGCGCTTCTGGGGGCAGCCTTCTATGGCATCTACTGGGCTACGCAGTACACCGTGGAGCTGCAGGTGCGGAAGGTCTTAGGGGAGAAGAGGCTGGAGACCCTGGAGACTGCATATCCAAGGGGGGGCGGGGGAGGGAGAGGGCACCGGAGACTAGAAGTCTGGGGATTAGCGGGAGTTTGGGGTCCTGAATGAAGACGAAACTAGGAGAGGATTTCAAGCATGGGTGTTGATGGGACCCCTTCCGTTGGCCCAGGAGAAGCCCTTTGTCCAGCAGACTGAACTGCTGAAACTCGGGGTGGACTACCTTCCGTCCATCTTCATCTCCGGGGTCAATTTGGTGCTGCCGCCCGTCTTCAAGCTTCTTGCTCCGCTGGAGGGCTACACTAGGAGCCGCCAGATCGTTTTTATCCTGCTCAGGTTCCAGATCCCTGGGCTAGGCATTAGGGATACTGGTTGGAGGGGCAGTTGGACCTGGGAGACCTGGATTCATCCTAACTCTTAAACGCAGCCTCAGATTCTTCATCTGGGAAGGAGGGGAGACTCGGGAGCTGTTTCCCCGCGGGAGGATCTTGGCACTTGGTGAGTGCCAACTCCTTTCCTCCCTTGCCCTGCCAGGACGGTGTTTCTCCGCCTCGCCTCGCTAATGGTCCTGCTCTTCTCTCTCTGGAATCGGATTACCTGCGGGGGCAACTCTGAGGCTCAGGAGTGCAAAACCTGTGGGTACAATTACAAAGAACTTCCGGTGAGGAGAACTGGGACCCGACTCCGGGTCTGAGAGAGGAGAAGCAGGGAGTCTGGACTCTTGGGACTCCTGAGTCTGAGGAGAGGATTGGGGAGTTAGGACTTCTGGGTCTGAGAGAGGAGACCAGGGGATGCACTCCCAGGTCTGAAGGACAACAGACTTGGTTGGGGTCAAGGTCCTGGGTCAGAGAAAGGAAGGGCTGAGGTTCAGGACTCCTGGGTTTGAAGGAGGAGGGACTGAGGGTCTGTATACTTCAGTGTCTAAAGGAGGCGGAACTGGGGGTTCTGTATTCCAGGGTCTGAGGGAGGAGGGCACAGGGGGCCACACTCCCTGGTCTGAAGGACCGACCGGGCACTAGAGGCCAGGACTTCTGGATCTGAGGCAGAACGGGCCTGGGGCTGAAAATACTGGGTCCCTGAAGGAGGAAAAAGGAACTCGGTGGGTTCAGAGAAAGGCCCAGGAAACTGGGGATCGCAGAGAAAGCAATGACTTGGAAACCCATTTGTCTGGATCCTGAGGTATTCGTGACCCCTTTTCTTCCTCAGTGCTGGGAGACTCGATTAGGACAGGAAATGTACAAACTCCTGCTTTTTGATCTGCTGACGGGTTTAGCAGTCACGCTGCTCATCCAATTTCCTCGAAAGTGAGAGCCCCGCCTCATTGCCATGCTCCGCCCCTAACGAATAGACCACGCCCACAGATGATCTATAGACACGCTTTCGCTTGGTGCTCAGATCCCGCCCCCTCCTCTGACCCCGCCCCTAAAGCCGTCTGACCCATCTCCCTTGGCCCTGCTCAAGCGAGAGCCATTGAAAGCTCTGCCCCTCCTCGGCTATGCTCCCTTCCGATTGGCGGGCAGGTTAGGGGAGGTGGGGGATCAGGGTTGACACGCCCCTGACTAGGGCTGGCCCCACTCCCTTAGGCTGTTCTGTGGCCACTGTCCTGGGGCTTTGGGTCGTCTGGCTGGGACTCAGGAGTTCCAGGTGCCCGACGAGGTGCTGGGGTTGATCTACGCGCAGACGGTGGTCTGGGTGGGGAGTTTCTTCTGTCCTTTACTGCCTCTGCTCAACACGGTCAAGTTCCTGCTGCTTTTCTACCTGAAAAAGGTGCGGGCTGGGGGAGACCCAGGGCTCTGAGGCGGGAGCTATGGGGGGCGGGGACGGCTACACTGCTGGGGACTGGGGATGCGGAACTGGAGGCCGGTCTCCTGGGTTTGAGGGAGCTGGGGTCAGTTACAGACTCACGTCTCAGATCGCCTTCCCCACCTTCCCTCATCAGTTGACCCTCTTCTCCGTCTGCTCCCCGGCTTCTCGCACCTTCCGAGCCTCCACGGTGAATTTCTTTTTCCCCTTGGTCCTCCTGCTGGGCCTGGCCATCTCTGCAGTGCCTGTACTGTACAGCATCTTCTGGTAAGTGGGAGACATGCCACCTCTGACCCCCTCGGTCCGCCCTCTCCCAGCGTCGGGTTCCTGCGCAGACTGGAGCCACTTGTCTCTGATTTCAGGATCCCTCCTTCCAAGCTGTGTGGACCCTTCCAGGGACAGCAGTCCATCTGGGCCCAGATCCCTGAATCTATCTCCAGTCTCCCTCAGGCCTCCCAGAACTTTCTCTTCTTCCTGGGCACTGAGGCTTTTGCTGTGCCTCTCCTACTGGTATCCAGGTGAGGGGCCTGAATCCCTGTGCTGTGAGTTTCAATGTGTGTGATCTGGAGGTCAGGACTCCCGGGTGTGATGGAGGAGGGGCTGGGGGTCAGGACTCCTGGTCTGAGGGAGGAGGGACTGGGGGTCAGGACTCCTGGGTCTGATGGAGGAGGGGCTGGGGGTCAGGACTCCCGGGTCTTAGGGAGGAGGGGCTGGGGGTCAGGACTCCTGGGTCTGAGGGAGGAGGGACTGGGGGTCAGGACTCCTGGGTCTGATGGAGGAGGGGCTGGGGGTCAGGACTCCTGGGTCTGAGGGAGGAGGGACTGGGGGTCAGGACTGATGGGTCTGATGGAGGAGGGACTGGGAGTCAGGACTCCAGGGTCTGAGGGAGGAGGGGCTGGGGGTCAGGACTCCTGGGTCTGAGGGAGGAGGGGCTGGGGGTCAGGACTCCTGGGTCTGAGGGAGGAGGGGCTGGGGGTCAGGACTCCAGGGTCTGAGGGAGGAGGGGCTGGGGGTCAGGACTCCAGGGTCTGA